TGACCACATGGCATGGCAGACCTCTCCTGACCCGCCCGCTGCTCCCCTCAGCAGTGTACTTCATTGATCTGCCTGCTCTGCTCCCCACTCTGTCTCTGATGAATCCTCCCACTGCCCCTGCATCTCTGGCTTGTACCCCAGTTCTGTATGCATAAATAAATAAATCTTTAAAAAAAAAGTAAATAAAGCAATAAGGTCCTGTTCAGAAGTCTAGTAGTGGATATAGCCAAAGTGTTAGGAGGATACATAGGGTACACTGGACTTTAGACTTCCAGAGAAAGCTACAGAGGGAATCCCAAAAAGCAGGAGTTAATGAGGCAAAATGAGCTTATGGAAGTATTCCAGGCAAGGAAAATAACATTCCCGAAATCAGAGAGAGTCATGCACATAGCAAGTGTGGAAAACCAGGAATAGTTTGCTGTGGGAGTGGGGTGAAGTAGGGACAGAAATGGTAGCAGTAAGAATGGTAGTGTAAGCAGAAGTTGATCATGAAAAACCTTATATAAGGGACCTTTTATTTTGTCACCCAAAGTAAAACACTTTTGAGAGAGCAAAGGGTGATAAATCATCATTTCTGTTAATAATCATTATGGGGTATTAGGCATTGTCCCAGGCATACCAAGACATCAGGTCACCTTACTCAGAAGTCACTTAAGGTGTTTGAATGGCATTGTTGTGTTGGCTTAAGGCGCATAAATAAAACAAATCCAGGGTAGAGTGGAGCAATGGCTTCAGGTTGGAGAACACTGAGTTTTGGGTTGTTGTGATTGCATTTTTTCTTTTTTCTCCTGACTTAATCTCAGACACCAACTGGGTGTTTTTTCACACACCAATTCTTTGACAGAAACTGATATCCAACAACTCAATCCTGACTTTACTATCCAGACGTAGCACAGATCCCACAGGCTGAGTCCACAAGATTGCCTTCACTTCAGGTGCTAACCACACATGCAGTGACTAGGGAAAGTCCAATGACAAAACTAAAACAACTTAACAAGTAACAAGTTTGATATCCTTTATTCAAGAGAGAGCAATCCATGCTTTGGGGAGTGTTCCACAAGCAGTGGAACACTGTTCTTGAAGAATTTTTGAGAAGAGGGATTTTTATAGTGTTAGAAGTAGCAACTCAGAAGCAGGAAGTGTTTGCTGTTGAATATCTGACCTTATTTAGAAAGACCAAGAAACAGGGAAATCAGTATACAACCCAGTGTTGACTTGACATTTGGGGATTGGCTAATTGGATCAATGCTTTCTGGTCAAGTAGAACATATAAACAACAAAGTTCAGTGGATGATGTGACACCATGCACAAGAGCATCTCTATTGAGCCTAGAAATTAATCAATAAGAGGAAAAGTTCCTTCTGTTAGAGGGTAGAAGGAGGGGCACCCCACCCCCAAGCCTGCCTGCTCTAAATGGGTTTTACCATCTGCCACATCAAGACAAACATAATCTTAGCATGTAAAACCTTCAGAAGAAAAGAACTTCAATGCAATTAGTGTGCAATAGAAGAGAAAGAATATAGTTAAAATAGCTTGCACGTGATATATCCAAAGTTACCCATCCCCTCATGGGTAAATGCCAACCAGAGGTGGTCCAAGCAAGGTCACTGAGGCTGGGAGTCTACATAGGTCAAAGGCACTTCTGGTGGGGATCCATAGGGAAGGAGCAGAAGGGGCCAGGCAGTCTGGGGAGAGCAAAATCAAAATCCGGTCAAGAAAAAGGCTTGGCAGTGGCAATTGCCAGCCTCTCCACGGGTCTCTCAGCCACGTCTCCTGAGTGTCTTCCTCCGTGCTTCCCATGTTCCTGGTACAAGTCCAAGGCTGAGAAGCAAACGTGGCTTCTTTCTTCACATGTCTCTCTGCTCTGTGTGCCTCCTCCAGGTCTTCCAGATCTCCTTCCTTCCTTCTTCTCTCTTCTCCAGCTTCTCCTCCCTACCCAGCTCCACCTTCCTTAGGTGGACCAGAGAACATGGAACCTCCCCTTCCTATGGAATATCACATTATTAATTATATGCACTTCTACCCTCCTGGGTTCTGTAGCCAGCTTAAGAACTAAACTGATTAAGATAGCTTAAAAGAAGGAAAAATTAAACAATTTTTAAAGACTTTCCCACAAGGAATTTTTTTTAAAGATTTATTTATTTATGCATACAGAATTAGGGTACAGGCCAGAGGTGTGTGGAGCAGGCAGTAAGAGGATTCACCAGAAAGAGAGTGGCAGGTGGATGAAGCACACTGCTGAGGGAAGCTGTGGGCAGGTCAGGAGAGGTCTGCCACGCCATGTGGGTCAGCTCCCTGACCAGGGATTGTGCTCATGTTAAAGTGCCTGCAGCCTTTACAGTGCTGTGCTTTAACCTGTTGCACCACTAGGGAGGGCCCCCAAAGGGAATTTCATAAATTTCATAAAGAATTAAGGCTCAAGAATGTATCCAGATGTTAGAGAAAGGAGTTTCAGCTCACAGGGGCTAGAGGCAAATTTGGGGAAGGTGAGGGGAGAAAATGTATGATAAATACTTAGTCTTGTTATGCAGGTAAGGAACTACCTTTAAAGATGTCAGTTTCCTGTTAAAAAGGAGACATTTATACTTCATTTTTAGACAGGGGGAGGTAAAGAGCTTTTACTGTATTTGCTGATTCTCAGTTGACTGTAGTTCATAATAATCCTCATGCCAAAGTGGCATAGCTCAGAGTGACATATTGTGGTCCCTTTTGCTACACACATTTATGCCAACAGTTAACAAATTTGGGGCATTCTAACAAAACCGCCCTTACAGTCGAGTAAGTTGCTAGAATGACTCACAAAACCAACGACACCATTTTGCCTATGTTTACTGGTTTATTATAAAAGACACAAATCTGGAACAGCCAAAGGGAAAAAAAATGCATAAAATTAGGCATGCACATGGAGCAGGAGGAATTAAATAATGAAAAAGAATATCAAAACTGGAAAATTTTCTAAGTCATGTGTTCATGAAGTGGCTTCAATGTTGATGAATAACTTTGTAATAGCACCTCCATTTAAATGTGTATATTTTTTTATTTTGTGTATACTCGTATTTAAAGCTGTATCTATGTTTAAGTGGACATATGTATCACAAAGCAGAAAACAGACGATGTATAATTTTTGCTTTTCTTGAATTTACCACTTAAAAATGGCTTGAATAACTGCTATTCCCTCTCAGTAACTAATCTAGATGACTATATAGAGAAATCTTTTGCTGATATACAAAATATTTGACTATTTAACCCTTAAAGCCTGACCATATAGATCTAAGGCTTCCGGGGGGTGGGGGAGCGGGGAGCATAAATCTTAGTCCACAATGGAAGACTGTGGGTGCTTTGGTGGTAGAGGGACTCTGGAAGGAAAAATCTTGTACTTTGAAAAAATGAACAAGGACATAAAATAATAGACCTCATGAAATACTAGTAATAATAAATAATTTTTGTAAGACCCTTAATCTTTAAAAGAATGTTTGGAGGTCTATAATTTTAAAGAAACTACCTTTTTTTTTTTTTTAAGATAATCATGACTTGGAACCTGCATCTGAATTGGGAGAAGATTTATTGAAACTTTATATGAAACCTTGTTGTCCAGATATTGATATTTATGTTGATGGAAAAAGTTTTAAAGCACACAGGTAAGCAATCATGTGACTGATTTGCTATTTTGGTTTTTACTGTAGAGTGCAAAAGAGAGTGGCTGGCTGTCTTTTTCTAGCACAGTGGTTTTCAAGCTCCAGTTCCCTTCATGAGGGTTCCCTGTGAAGCCTCAGGGGGTCTCCTCTAGACAGAGAGCTTAGCTACCAGGCGGGGATTTCTGCCTGCAACTTTACACACTCACACACACACATACACACACATGGCAGGGATTTCTGCCTGCAACTTTACATACATACACAGACACACACACACACCAGGCAGGATTTCTGCTTGCAACACTATGCACACACACACACACACTATACCACACCCTACCATATCTGTGCACATGCCTTAGCCTCAGCAGATTCTCTCTCATCTATACTTTGCAGTGGACATGAACCTAAGATTTCATGATAAGAAATATTCTGCTGCCTAAAATAGGCTTGAAAGCCAGTGTCGCAGAAAATATAATTAAATGCAGTTTTCAGTTTCACAAGCATTGTGTGGAGAGTGATTATTTCCACATGAATGGCACGTTATGTTCTATGAATGCATTCTGGCTCAATGTCTCTGATTCAAAATAGATGATTCTCATGAATAGCTTTGATTAGGAGGTTTAATATTTCAATGTACTTTTTAAAAATCATTATTCTGATTTAGAATCTGGTGACTTAGTCATTACACTTCAGATGGAAGCCCGGTGCCTGTTTTTGGTTGGACTCTTTTTTTTTTTTTGCAAGTAACTAAAATCTGTTTGAAAAAAATTAGAGTAAGAAATAGAGATTTTCAGTTGGAATTGAAGGGGAAGAAGTGCAGCTGGCCTTCATGGTGGGTTAGGATGGGACGCAAAAAGCTGAGGAATCCAGACAGTTCTTCACCCTCCCTCTCTCTGTGTCCCAAATAGAGTATTGATTTATTCTGGGGCTCCCCTAAGAAGAACCAGACTTGCAGTAGCAAGAATCAGTTTTCTGAGTTCACAGCTGTACAGCCCTTAAATGGAATCAGCAGAGAGCTTAGATCACAGGATTTACCAAACGACAATAGTGATAACTGTGTTTTCAAGAATTGTACAGAAGGGTCCTCCCCGGGTTGGGGTGCAATACTAGAAGCTAGCTGCAGCCATAGTCGCAGCCGGATCCCCAGCCAGGGGGTGACCCAGATGGCCTGGCAGATCTCGCCTGTCTCACCTGCTGCTCCCCTCAGCAGTGTGCTTCACTGATCACCTATTCTGCTGTTTTTCTTTCTCTGGTGAATCCTCTCATGGTCTCTGTACCTCTGTCCTGTACCCCAGTTCTGTATGCATAAATAAATCTTTAAAAAAAAATCATACTGAGTCAGGCTTCTTTTGTTGTTGTTTTCTGGCATTTGTGCTCTTTTCTTGTCTCCTCATTTTCAATTTTATATAGGTTACAGTAAGAATAACTGTTCAACTGGCATTTTTGTAGTTGTTGGGAGTCTCCCATCAGAGGTAGTGGGTACCAAAGGATCAGCTCCAGCAGATACAAGAATTTGAAATTCCTGTTGTGAAGCATTTCTTTTTGGGGGGGTGGCAAGTGTTCAGGGATTTCAGCTGAGCGTGGGAGTGGCAGGTGTTTGGATGCCTCAGCCTGGGGTTGGGGGGGCAGGTGTTCAGCTGCCTCCCCCTCTGCCTCGCCTTGTCTGTTCTCTGCTGTGAGGAAGTCCAGGTGCTCTGACCCACTTCAGCTGTTCTGTGTTGGGAACCTGGGCTGCGGGCCGGCAGTCCTCCTCTGCACCTCATCTCTGTGGCTCTCCCACAATGCACCTTCCGCCCTGGATGCCTGCTTCTGCCCCCTCTTGTCTGGTGCAATGCCCCGTGTGAAGACCCCTGATGTTGGCGGTGCCCAAGTTGATAGCTGCGGGGCCAGTGCCTCTTTCTCCCTCCCATTGGCTCCGCTGGCCCTCTGTCACTTTAAACAAAGTTCACTAAGATTTTCCTACCCTTTCATTTCGCTGATGCTCCTATTGTGTCTGCTGACAATCTGTTTTTCCCTGAGGGGTTCTGGCTTTGTTTTGAATTAGTTTTGCTGTGCTTGTCTGGAGGTGAACTTGGATTTTCATTCTGTCACCATCTTACTGTACTGTCTCCCTGTTTCATTTGTTCAGTGATATGTGCTCACATATGGACAAGCCAATGCAGCTACTCCCCAAGGGATAGGATTTATGATCAGGATTATATTCAGCTTTGGTTTCACATTATAGTACTATTTAGCTTGCTAGTTTAATATGGTCAGATTGCAGTGCTAGGGTAATTTTTTTTTTCTTTTATAGTCACTATCGTTCATGTTCAAGTTCTTCGGAATTACCCCTGACACCCTACTCCCTCTATGATTCTCTCTCCAGTTGTCAGTTTGTTCTCTTCAGTCTTGATCTTGATTCCAGTCTAATACCTGGCGAGGCTTTTATATGCCCCAAGACAATCTGATGCCAGTCACTTGCTTGTGATGGCACGACTAAGCCAGAGAATATACTTAAAACAGAGTGGTTAACAATGTGTGGAAAGGTTGTCCGCCTGTGATTGAATTCAAACTTTTACTACCTTTAGCTATGTGAGTTTAGGTAAGTGTTTCAGCATTTTTTAAAAAATTTATTTTTTTATTCTTACAGAACTGGAGTACAGGTGAGAGGTGCAGGGGTGAGGAGTGAGAGAATTCACTACAGACAGCGGGGAGCAGAACAGGCAGATCTACTGAAATACACTGCTGAGGGGAGCAGCAGTGAGACAGGAGAGGTTGCTGCTCCATGTGGGTCAGCTCCCTGGCTGGGGGTGGAACTCATGCTGCAGTGGCTGCTGGTAGCTTCATAGTGCTGTGCTTTAACCCCTTGCACCACCAGAAAGTCTTGATTTATTAATGTCTTAATGTTTTTACGTTAGAGAAGTCTTAACTAGAAATCATATACTATATGGGTATAGTTTATATAAGAAAGATGAAACTTCAGTCAGTGAACCCACATTAAAATAGATTTGCTAAGTCTCAGCACTGTCAAGCTATCCCCAGCCACTGCTGCTTGATTTCCATTCTAAGCCAAGGAGCTAAGCTCTGTCTCACCTGCTGCTCCCCTCAGCAGTGTATCAAAGTAGATCTGCCTTTTCTGCTCCCCACTCCGTCTCTGGTGAATCCTCTTACCCACACCTCTGGCCTACACTCCAGTTCTTATTTGCATAAATAAATAAAAATTAAAAAAAAAAAGATCGTCTTTATGGTAAAAGATTTATGAATGCATGCACATTTATTTTTTAAATTAGAATAAAGTGATTGGCCCTCCCTGGTGGTGCAGTGGGTTAAAGCGCAGCCCTATGAAGCTATCACAGCCATTGCAGCACAAGTTCAATCCCCAGCCAGAGAGGTGACCCACAAGGTGTGACAGACCACTTCTGACCTGCCTGCTGCTCCCCTCAGCAGTGTATTTCGGTAGATCTGCCTGTTTGCTTCTTGCTCTGTCTCTGGTGAATACGCTTACCCACCACACACCTCTCTGGCCTGTACCCCAGTTCTGTATACATAAATAAAAAAATCTTTTAAAAAAATAGAATAAAGTGAGTAAGATATATACAAATATTTAAATTTTTTTCTTATATTTTTTATTAACCAACTATCGGTCTTAATTCTGTTGAATAATAGGACATCTGCCTTGCATCACAAGTTATTTTTTAACTTAAGTCCTTTGAAAACTGCTGTCATTAGTGTGTCCAGAAAGTCTCAAGCATAAGCTAATCTTACTTTTTTAAAGTTTATATTCTGTACAACATTTGCAAAGAAGTAGTGTGGGTAATAGTGACAGCTCTAAAAATATGGATGTATTTCTCTGGGTTTAACCCTTATCAATTATGTGAACTAAAGGGGAAAAAATGTACTTTGTCTTTAGAGCTTCTTTGAATAATCCAGGCCATTGTTTTCTAGCTGGAGTAGTGAATCTAGTTCAGCTAACATCAGGAAATATTGAATAATAACATATTAAAACCAGAGCAAGGGGAAAATTAGGTCATCGCAACAGAGCCAAAGCAACCTTGTTGGTAGATTAAATTTAATCAAAGGAGAAAATAGCTTTGGCATGTTAATGAAATGCAAAACTTGGCAAAAAATTTTAATAAACTTGCCATCTAGTTTTTTTTTTTAGTTTCTAGTTTGTTTTTTAAACTAGTTTTCAAGTCAGTTTAATTCTTAAACTCATGCAGACTTGCTAGTAGGAATATTAGTTCTAAGTTTTGTCTTAGGATCAAAATAATACTTTAAGGCTCAGATGCTTTTAGTCTTGCTTGGATGGAAATGGCTAACATAATGTGCTCGTTCAAGTCTTCTGAGAAGCAGACATGCAGATGGGATCAGCCTTGAAGGAAATTAGTTGAGGTAAATGCATGTGAGAGAACATGCTAGATGTGGATCACTTTAACCCAGCAGGGATTGAGCTGATTCAAATCTGGACTTCCTTTCTAATAAGAGTTTGTCTGTTTCACATTCACTTCTTTGTAAGGTATAACCCACCTAAAATACCCACCTGAAATACCCCAAATTCCAATATGTATTCTGCAACCTGTAAAAGATTCCCATAGCTACATTGAACTCCTTGCTGTTAGATTGCTGTTAGATTTTGGCGATTACCTCAATGAAAAAAAATGCCTCATTGACCTCAAACAGGTAAACAGCCAGTTATTTCTTCAGAAAAATGGTTTTTTTTTTTTTTTTTTTCAGAAACAACAGAAAGTAGTTAAGTGGAGTTTCCTGTTGAAACTCACCAACACTTTCCTAGAATAGAAAGAGAAACCTGTGTAGATTTTGGAGGGAATGTTGTAAGGGTAAAGAAAGGCCAGTAGCGGAAGCTGGGCGTTCAGAGCTCAGTGGCTTTTCATTTGCTGGGTTCTGGCATCTCCTCACTGGCTGAGCTCTTGCATAAGGAGTCCCTTCCCGCCCACTGGATAGCAAAGCAGCCTCCCTTTGGGTTGTGTAGTGTGATTTGCGCTGCTGTGCTTGTGGTGAGAATGCTCTTCTAGGCTTCTCCCTGGTGGCAGGACAGATTAAAGTGCAGCACTGTGAAGCTAGCTGAAGCTGTTTGAACTTAAGTTTGATCCTCACCAGGGAGGTGACCCACATGGAGTGGCAGACCTCTTCTGACCCGTGCGCTGCTGCACTGTCAATCTGCCTATTTTACTGCCCGCTCTGTCTCTGGTGAATCCTCTCACCCCCTGCACCTCTGGCCTGTACCCCAGTTCTGTATACATAAATTAAAAAAAAGAATAATGAATATAGAAGAGAAAAAATTTAAAAGGATGTTGGCATTAATGTTTTAATCAAGCATTCAAAATGCTTACATATAAATATAAGATTATAATTTTTGTTATAATTATCTTGATTTTATTTATTTTGTTATAATAATCTTACGAGTGAGTAAAAACAAGACAAACTGATCATTATGTTTTTTTTTTTTGATCATTATGTTTTAAGAGGTAAAGATGAATAGTGTCATTAAAAGCTGCACTTTGCATAGTGCATACATGTTTACCTGTGTTTTCTCTCCTCTTCCCTTTAGGGCCATTTTAAGTGCCAGATCTTGTTATTTTGCTGCAATGCTGAGTGGCTGTTGGGCTGAAAGCTCCCAAGAGTACATTACTCTTCAAGGGTAAGCATAATTTTTACAAGGCAGCTTCACTGCAAATGATTGCAAATAATACTTCATACAAAGCCCTTTTTATGAACATTCCCTGTATGTTCAGTGAAATGTTTCTGTAGTACAATGTACATTTTCTAAAAACAAGAGGTAGTAGGGAACATTAGTAGTAGAGATAATCAGTCTTCCAGGCTGCTATAACAAAATACCTAAGTAACAGAATTGTATTTTCTGAAAGTTCTGCACCATCCAAGTTCCAGCAATGTTGATATCTGCTGAGAAATGTCCTCTTGGGTTCCTGAGTTGCAGGTAACCGCTACTCCCTCTTTGCTCAAGTAGCCTTTCCTCAGTGTGTGAAATGGGTGAAAGGGAGGTGAAAGAAAGGTAGAGAAAAAGGGAGCTGGCTGGTGTTTCTTTTTGTAAGGCCATGAATCCTATCATGACAGGGCAGGGTGGGGTTTATTATCTTAATACCTCATTTAACATTAATTATGCCTTTGAAGCCACATTCCAAACATAGACACACTGGGGATTAAAACTTTAGTATAGGAATGTGGGTGAGTGAGAGGATGTAGATATTCAGTCTATAATAGGTAGACTTCTTTTTTGTTTTTAAAGACTAGGGAGCTGTGAATTTTAAGAGCCTATGATAGTGAATACAGTGTTGAGTCTACACAATTGTTGGCAGTGTATATAAATTGCCAAGACAATGAAGAGGTGAACCAGGGCCCTCCCTGGTGGCCCAGTGAGTTAAACCACAGCAATGTGAAGCTATCTGCAGCCACTGCTGCATGAGTTCCATCTCCTGCCCCGGAGGTGACCCACATGGCTGGGCAGACCTCTCATGTCTCACCTGCTGCTCCCCTCAGCAATGTACTTTGTTGATCTGCCTGTTCTGCTCCCCACTCTGTCTCTGGTGAATCCTCTCACCCCCACAGTGCTGGCCTGTACCCCATTTATAGATGTATAAATAAGTAAATATTTAAAAAAAAAAAAGCATTTCTGGAGGTCCTCCTGGTAGGGCAACGGTTAAATCTCAGCACTATCAAGCTATCAGCAGCCACTTAAAAAAATTTTTTTATGGAGATATAATTGACTTACAACATTGTTTTAGGAGTACAACACACTGATTTGGTATATGTATACATCAAAAAGTGATTATCACAATAAGTATAGTTAACATTCACCTATTGTACTTTTTTCCCTTGTAAGGTGATCTGCTCTCTCAGTGACTTCAAATATGTAATGCAGCATTGTTAACTACAGTTAGTTGGCATCTCCATGCTGTACCTTATACCCCAGGATTTATTTGTCTTGTTACTAGAAGTCTGTACTATCTTCACCCATTTTTTTCCATCCCCCACACTCCTTTTTTGGCAACTACCAGGAGGAAATTTCTGACTATATAGGATTTCATATGCCAAACTTAAGAGTATCATCCTGTAGCAGAAGGAATGTGGAAATGGATCCACTGGTGAAATTTTATCATCACTGTTGAAAAACAACCTGAAGGTGAATGTGTCCTACTGATAAGATTTTTTTCCTTTGTGATAGAGTTGAAATACCCAGTGAATAAAGAAAGAAAGATAGTGCTGGCAGAGACAGAGTCAAAATGCACCAGTCCTTGGGGTCGTCACTCTGGTGTACCGGAAATTTATCCAGGGGTCGTATTTTAGATGTTCTAGACATTTTAAAAAACTGCCAATTCACTCCAGAAACTGGATCCAATAAAAATGTAATAAGAAAGATAATAGTAGTTTGACTTAGAATGTGACTTTTTGACATTCATTAGAAATTATGTGATTCTGTGTGGAGAAGGAAAGGTCAAAGGAAATGTATGATTATGGGATTTTATTCCACAGTAGAGGAAAGTAATTTAGAGATCATTTGTCTAATTTTTTTCTGGGAGGAATCTTCTTTCCTTGTAGATTACCTTACAATTTTTACTACCTGATACTCACTATGTATACTTTTTATCTTTTCTTTTCAACTATATTTCGCCCCCAGCCATAATAATACCTTCCAGTAACACTTCATATTTTTCTAGGTTTCTTCCACATTTACTGTGCCCTTTAATTTCTTGAGTCGGTCTCTGAGACTGGTCTGTAAAAACACAGATGTGTGAAAACATCATTGGAGAAAGCCTCGGTCACCTGGTGAATAAATACTAATGTTGAATATATATTTTCAACATTAGTATTCGTTGATTTCTAATTACAGGTCCATTCTGCCACAATCACTGAAGCAATTTAAAGTTTCCTATTGACATGTATTCTTGAGCTGGCCATCTGTATCAGTGATTTTCAGATTTTGCCCCGAAGGTTCCTCCTAGGTATGTTAGGGAACATGTAATGTGGGTTGAGATCTGAGCTGGAGGCTGTTTGGAAAAGAGCACCTCGTCAAGCAGAGCTGCTCCAGATAAAATCCTTCCTGTTTTATGTTGCTAAGATTATCCTGTGAGTTTAGCGAGAGGAATAGCACAAGAGAGAGCCTTTGTCCTCATTCTTCTCTTCACTCTCACGCTTGCCCTCAGACTAAACATTGAAAACACAACAGACTTTAAAAGGTGAAGTCTATTTATTAAGAGGTGAATAGACAGGAAAGAAGCAGTGTCTGCTCTCTCCTGTCATTTTCCATCTTTAATTTATGACAGGGTATTAGATATCTATTTCCTCCTCCAATATGACTCGACTACTGCTCACCACCTTAGTAACTTGTTTAGGGTTATTGATGCAGCCAAATTGTTTTCAGAATGTCATCAAAAAAGTGCACCGCCCAGTATGTTGTTCCAGGCTCACTGCTCTTACGGGGCTTTCCCTGCACCTCTGGAGTGGTGAACAAGCTCAGCTCCTTCCAGCTTCAACTTGCCACAATTGTTGTGTCCACCGTGGCATCTCACTTTTTTTTTTCTTTAAAGATTTATTTATTTATGCATTCACAATTGGGGTAAGGCCAGAGGTGTGGGGATGGGGGGGTGGGGAGGGTGAGTGAGAGGCTTCACAGAGACAGAGTGGGGAGCAGAGCAGGCAGACTAACGAAGTCCACTGCTGAGGGCAGCAGCAGGCACGTCAGGAGAGGTCTGCTGTGTTGCTCTTAGTGGACTGTTGACTATCAGTGCTAGTATGTTGGAAATGAGGATGCATTTATTTTTGTTTCACCTCTTTTATCAACGTTTGACAAGTCAAATTTTTCTCATGCCAAAATGAAAGGAGAAAGCATCTTGACAAATACTGGGTTTCAACAGAATCCTTTATTATTATTACAGAGTATATATATTTTTTTCTCTCTTATATCACATATCAAACTGACTGTCTCAGATGGCCACCAAAATGTTTTAGTATCATGACACATAAAGCTGTAAGAAGGGTAAAGAATTTAGGAAGTTTACTTTTTTTAAAAAAAAATTACATCTTTTAGAAATGTTTATATTATAACAAAGTACTGTTCAAAACAAATTCTGGGGCCTTCTGCTTGACTTAGGAGCTAAGTCTCAACAATATCACCATTGTGACCGCAGTTTGATCCCCGGTCAGGGAGTTAACCTATATATGGCACAGCAAACCTTTTCTGTTTTGCTTGCTGCTCCCCTTAGCAGTATATTTCAAATAAATCCACCTGTTCTGCTTGCTACGCTGTCTCTGATGGATCCTCTCACCCCCCACACCTCTGGCTTATACCCCAGTTCTTCACACCATACACATACACAACTCCGGTTTCACATTAAATCATACAATAAACTTCAGTATATGTTTGAATAGGTAGGTGGGATACAAGAAATATCATGAATTTTGGTGTCCTTCTTGGCAGCCCTGTATACCTTCCTAACTTCTTACAAGATTTTGGGGACACTGCTACTTTCTCTGAGCTGCAGAAAGGGTTAAATGAGATCCAGTAAGGAAAGAACCAGACCTAGTGCTTGGTATGCCTGTGTAATGCTCATTAATACTTGTATTTTTCTTCTTTCCTTAAATGAGATTCTTCTCATTTTCTAGAGACAGAATAGGTTAGAGTGAGGGCCTTTACAGTTGCTAGGACAGCCATTCCTTCTCCTCTGCTCAGCACCTCTTTTAGAGCTGAGTCTCTGTTCTACATCTGCAGGATGGTCTCTGCAGTAGCCTAGCATGAAATCCTGGCTGTTCTATCTGTCCTAACCTAAAGTAACCCCATGCTGAAGTGGCTTTAGCTTCTTAGCGCTGTGCTTTAAGCCGCTGCGCCACCAGGGAGGGCCCGAACCCCAGTTTTTTTTAATGAAGGGGTTACTCTAAGACATACTGCACTTATTTCCCAAGAGAGACAGCCTTCAGTAAATTGAGGTTGCAATAGTAGAGTTCTCTGATCCTAGTTCCACCAGTGCCCCGGAGTCGGGAAGTGTCAAGGTATATAATTGGGAGAAAATTCTCCTATTCTGGTGGAGAAAAGGGGGAAATTTCCACATCCTCTAGTAGAAAATGAACCACAGCCAGCCTTTCTGTAAAGAAACCCCACATATTCCCATCTTGTATAAATTGAAGTCTTCCAGTAGGGGCTTGGCTTTAGAGCATAAATTTAGATTTTCTCCTTTCCCTTGGGTGATTCCAGAAACTGCTCCAAACTTTCAGGATGATATTTCAGAATATTAAATCAGCTCATATTTCTCTTCTGAGTAAACATTCTTCCATGCTTTTTCTTCACAATTGGAATTAAACCCAAGCTCTTTAACGCAACCTCCAAGAGCTTTTGTGATTTAGCTCAGTTTTCTCCCAAATTCCTACAGCTAAGTAGCCATAGCCTAAATCTCTTAGATCATCCTGTTGTACATCTTCATGGCACTTCCACCATTAAAATAGTCTCTGCTACATATTTATTAACATATTTATTGTCCATATCCTCTCTCTGAATGTAAGTTTCTTCTACTCTCAAAGTCTACAATAGAACCTGTCACATACTGAATGTGAGTAAGTGATCCTCATGTTACATTGACCCATACCTAGTAGTCTGAAATTTATGAAGCACACAGACTTCAGTAAACTGAGTACATGATCAGTCTCCAATCTTTGCCCTTTCTCCTCTTAAAGGTTTTCTTTTTTTCTGATTCCGAGCATACATCATGTTTTCATCTCCTACAAGCTTTATCCTGATTAAATTTAAATGGGAACAGTGCTTTAAATCTCTCCATTTAAACTGAGAGACATTAGATACGTTCTTTTTCTAGGTCAACTGTTCATATCTTTATAAATACTTTTAGTAAAAAAGTACAAGTGACTTACATATCACAGTGAGAGTGCCGTTTAGTAACACATCTGTCAGGGCAGCAGGAAAATGTTTCTTGCTATTTTTATAACTAATATATATATTGATACATAGGCTCAAATGTCTAGATGTTGATATTTATTTTAGTAAAACTACTTTTGTTTTTATTTACTCATTATTTTTGCTTAAAATGTCAATTAAAAAACCCTGTTTTTCAGTTTAACAACCAGTTGTTATTTACAGTGATAAGAATAACTCTTGAAACTTGGAGGAAAAGTGGATGGAATAATGTACAATCTAGTATTTATGCTAATATTTTAGATTAATAAGCTACAGCTAATGTGTGGCATATTTATTCTAAGATCAAACTTTGTCATATGAATAAAATATAAATGAGCATATTTCAAGATTTTACTCTTCCTTTTCTAAGTATTGAAGTAAAGTTGTAGAGTTCTGAATCAGATATCTGATCTTAGCCATCATAGGGGCCAGCATATGTTTATTAAATTAATTGAAATATCTATGTGCTTTCAACTCAGTGTTCCTCTGAAGGTTTGAGAAGATGCTATAAATACACTAAAAAGCCATTCATTAAACATTCATCAAACATATACTGAGCATATATTATTTAAGGCCATACAATCAAAGCTTAACTTGTGAGAACTCCATTTCTTTTCTTCTTGTTTTCCTTTTGCAAATATTAGATACTTGCTTGATAAGCTGTGGGGCTCATATCAGCACTGTCCCCACCCTGATTCCACCGCAGAACTCTAGTAGTAAGTGGGAAAAGGAAATTATTCTGATTCTGAATCTGTACTGACATCCTACGCTACAAAAAATATGAAGAGTGGGTGCTTTGGTGTTGGGAGAACTGTGGTGACTACAGCTGAGGGGAGAAGTCCTATACTGTCAAAAAATTAAGAAGGCTGTAAGAAAAAGATACTTTATTAAAAAAAAAATTAAGGGTCCTCCCTGGTGGTGCAAGAGGTTAAAGATGTATAAATAAATATTTTTTTTTAAATTTAAAAAACCAGGCCCTCCCTGGTGGAGCAGCAGGTTAAAGCATAGCACCGAGAAGCCAAGGCCACCTCAGCATGATCCCTGCCCCAGAGGTGACCCACATGGCGCAGCAGACCTCTGCTGTCTTGCCCGCTGATCCCCTCAGCATGTACTTCGTAGATCTGCCTTGTCTGCTCCCCGCTCTGTCTCAGGTGAAGCCTCTCACCGCCCCTGCACCTCTAGCCTGTACCCCAGTTCTGTATGCATAAATAAATAAATCTTTAAAAAAATTTTTTTAAGAAACCATAGGAAATAGAAGACAGTAGAAAAATATCTTTAAAAAGAAAACTATTAGCCCAGAATTTTCTAATTCTATGTGCCCTGAAAATTTTAGGACTTAAAGTGCTCTAAATGAAGGAAAATAAGAGAATTTGTCACCAGCAGATCTCTGTAAGAATTGTACGTGGGAGCTGTTCACCTGAAGAGCTAGGATACCAGAGAAAAACTTAAACATTTAGGAATAAAGGAAATGCCAGAGAAATGATAATTACCTGAAAAAAAATTTTTAATTCCTATTACCATTATAAAATATGTGTGACTATTAAAAGCAAAATTTTTAACATTGTTGGGTAGGATTCTCAATGCATTAGTCATATACAGGGGTAGGAATAAAATAACTTATAGGGGAAAAAATACCAGAATTCAGTCCTCACTGAACTCTGTCTAGAAAGAGAAATAAATATGTAAACAAAGATATCAAATGTCAGTTTGATAAATGTGATAATGGAAATATATTTAGTATATTGCATAAGGCCCCAGGCTTTGTAGTTCTTATACCTGCATTTAAATTCCAGTATAACACTAACCCTTTGACCTGGGGCAAGTTACTTAATTTTATTTTCTTCATCTATAAAATGAGATTAATAGTGGAATCCACTATTGAGTTGTTATAATGATTAAATGAGCTAACTCATTGAAAATGCTTATTAATTCAGTGGCACATAATTAGTGCTCAATAGTCATTACTGTGTTTAGCTGTATGTTAAATGCAGTGATTTTTTTTTTTTTTTTGCCTTGGGTGGGTACATTAAGGAAACAATCAGTAATCCAGTCATGTATCTTTTGTCTGAAAGATGGAATAAGTAGAGGAGGAGATCATTTTAAGCAGAATGAACAGTATGTACTAAGGCATGAACGCACAAGGCATTAAAGGTCCTCCAGTATATGAAATGAGTATTTCACTTATCTTGGAACAGTTGCTAGAGAGGAAGAACCAGAGGTCAGATGATAAAGAACATTGTACAGAAAGCTAAAGAATTTAGACTTTTTAAATGTAGGCTATGGAGAATTGTTGAAGAGTTTTCAGAGTAGGGAACTAAATCAGGTTTATATTTTAGCAAAATCACTCTAATGGCAATGTGGGAAATGGGATGCAGGGAAATTATTACAGCCATGAACCTGTATGAAAGGAGACTGTGATAGGACAGATGAGAGGAAACAAGAGCTTAAGGGTCTCCCTGGTGGCCTTGGAGTTAAGTCTCAGCACTGTCACCTCAGTGGCAAGCATTCTATTCCCAGCCACATGGCAGCCACAGCAAAGCTCTCCTGTTTCTCTCACTGCTCCCTCAGCAGTATATTTCAGTAGATCTACCTGTTCTGCTCCCCACTGTCACTGTTGAATCTTCTCACCGCCCACGCCTCTGACCTACACCCCCGTTATTCTATGCAAAAGTGAATAAAATCTTTTTAAAAAATAATCAGAGCTCCAGGATCTGGAACATCTATTCATACTAGAAAATAAAGAATGTGCCAAAAGACTCCTGGAATTAGATCAAGAAAATTCAGACATAAACTTGAAGAGGTTTACTTAGGCCAACGACTGTGAGGATAATTTGAATATCAATAAGAACATAAATGTGTTGTTGTATGTTTCTTACAGTTTCATTTGTTTCTGGGGTTTCTTGCAGTTTCCTTTGTTGTTGTTGATAAGAAAACAAACAAACATGTGCTTTTATCTGATTAAAAATGTCCAGAATCAGCGCCCTCCCTGATGGTGCAACAGGTTAAAGCACAGCACTGCAAAGCCACTGCAGCATGAGTTCCAATCCCCAGCCAGGGAGGTGACCCACACGGTGCCGCAGACCTTGCCTGTCTCGCCTGCTGCTCCCCTCAGCAGTGCATTTCAGTAGGTCTGCCTTTTCTGCTCCCCAGGCTCCCCCCACACCTCTGGCCTGCACACCACTTCTTGTATGCATACATAAATGAATCAAATGTATGCATAAATAAATGAGTCAAAAAAAGAAGAAATGAAAGCTTAAACCAGAGAAGGAAACAGAGACTGAATTCAAGAGAATTTTGGAGGTATAAATTATGGGGCAATAATATATGCTTTAAGGCAAAAAACCAAAGTTAACTTGGTTGCTTTGTCCTCTCTTAAACAGCCTTTTTGAGATAAAGTCTGAATCTGGATAGCAGATGCATTTTGCCCTATCAGCTGTATTTACCGATTCAGCAGAACAAAGAAGAAATTTAATTTCCCCGTATCTCAGGTTCCTCCCAGCCAGTGACCAATGGTTGTTGTATATCAATCAAATAATTCACTTCCCTGGTATAGAGAAATACAGGGGGAAACTAGATGCACCGAGCCTATAATAGTGCTATAAACAAAATAGGAATAATGGAAAGACCAAATCAGGGGTGTTGGGAGAGGCAGGGAAGAAAAAGAAGGTCATGACCAGAGTTGAAGATCCAGTAGTCAGCAGGACATAATTCTTAAGTCATGTCATTACTTTTTCTCTGTCTAATGAGGACAGTCACCTAGTGAGAGTCACTGGATAGATATTACAAATTCTGTATAGCATAACAAGAATCTTTCTAGTGAATTGAGTTTTCCATGTAAGGCTTTAGGCAAGATCAGAGGCAAATTTTCAAAGATGTTGAAGAGAGTATTTCTCAATGAGTTGGGAAGATGGTGAACAAATAATTTGATAACATGTTAAACTTAAGTCAGATTCATAGCTGCAATTATACTTCACTTTTAATTCATGGCATACTTGCATGGATGTTTTTTGAAGAATGTATTCTTCAAATAAAAAAAATTAGAATTTTATCTTGGCTAAAAACTTTTGGGAAAATACAGCATATCATTGATATCAATTAAGCCTTAAATATGTCTGGATTTGATTTCGTTTTCTTTTATTTTTCAGTATAAACCATGTGGAAATGAATATTATGATGTATTTTATTTATGGAGGAACTTTGGACTTTCCAGACAATGCTAATGTTGGGTATGTATTACTTCTTAGTGCTTTTAAATATAAAAGTACTAATATTTTGTGACTTAAGCTTTGTTTATTATATTTGAAAGTGTCAGTGGGTAGAAATTTCATTTTTATTGTCTATTTGCCATATAGTGTGCATATGTTGTGAATGTCTCTAAAAGTAGTATCACCTTATTTAGAAGAAAGAATGATCTGGCAACTCACTAGTAAGATTAAGAAAAGGCTTTATTATGGCCCTCCCTGGTGGCACAGTGAGTTTATTATGGCCCTCCCTGGTGGCACTGCGAAGCTGGCCGCCTCAGTGCGAGTTTGATCCCCGCCCCAGAGGTGACCCACATGGCATCGCAGACCTCTCCTGTCTCCGTTGCACCCCTCAGCAGTGTGCTTCCTCATTCTCCCAGTTCTGCTCCGCACTCTGTCTTTGGTGAATCCTCTTACCGCCTCTGCACCTCTGACCTGTACCCCAGTTCTGTATGCATAAAAAATTTTTTTTAAAAGAAGAAAAAGATAATTCTTTGTTAGATTTAAATTGTGTTAGAAAAACATTCATTTTGGAAAATAAATGACCATATTTATTAAATGAAATTAAATTTTGTCATTTATAGCAGTGATGTAACTACCTTATTTTTTTTTAAAGACATCTTTTTTAAACAGCAAAAGAAAAGGCAAAATCTTAAAATTAATTTAAGGATACTATTGTCCTGGAGAGCAACAATAATTTGATTCTTAAGTATGCTGGAGTGAAATTCCATTGAAGCTGCTGAAATCACCGGGAGTGAAATTCTAGCTCACTTTTTTATTTTTTGGATGTCCTCTTTTATTGCTATTCTATTATCAGACACATGAAAATTGTTCTTGTAATGTTAAATATTTATTGGTGCCTTTAATTACAAACTGAACAAGTATGATTTGAGGGGAAAGTATTATGAGACATAGAGATTAAGTACTGAAGTTTTTACCTCCTGGGAATTTATACATAATTGTATCATGCTCTCAAGTTTCCCCACTACCTAAGGTCTGTGCAGATATTCAAAAATATTTGCAAAATGAAAGATGGGACAGGGACCCTCAGAGTCATGTTGTTTCCATTTTGGGGGGTTATTTATAGTCACTTTCAATTTGATAAGTTTCAATTAATTGCCCTCCCCTTAAGTGTTTATTATACAAATTTGCTTTATAACTTTTGTGGGTGTGTGTAATGAGAACTTTCAAGATACTCTTAAAAGTAAATCTTGGCAATTTTCTAATATGCAATACAGCATTATTGACTATCATCTCCATACTGTACTTTATATTCTTCAACTTATTTGTTACATAGCTGGAAGTTTATACCTCTTACCCCTTTGCCCTTTAAAATTATTATTTTGTCTAAATAGATATATGTATTTCAGGAAATTGCTGTATAATATGCCTTTGTTTTTAAAGTGAAGAATTAACTTTTTTTTTTTTTTTTTTTTTTAGCCAGATACTCAATATGGCTGATATGTATGGACTGGAAGGATTAAAAGAAGTAGCAATCTATGTTTTAAGGAGAGATTACTGTAACTTCTTTCAGAAGGTAATTATTGAGTTTCAGTAATCTTTTACCTAGTTGCTGAAAATTGCCCATTATTACCTACTAGATTTAATTTTTTTTCACAGCCTAATTTTAATCATATGCAACTTTGTACAGTGACAGAAAGTCTGCATTTGTAGGAAGTAAATACTGTCTTGGTACTCAAATACCAAGAATATTTGACCTTTATATTCAGCATATTCACCTTCTACAACTGATATTTTAGGATAATTTTTTTTCTAAATCTAGAAATCTAGATTTTTTAATCTGGATAGAAAAAAAGCATAATGAATAAATTTTTGTTTTTCCCATTGGATTTTTAATTCTGATAGTAAATAGCACTTTAAATCTTAAAAATACTGTCCATTTTACTACTAGGAACTCTAGTTGAAAAATAATCATGGTGTGATGAATTGAGAAAAATATTTAAATTCTGATCATTTTAAGTAAAATAAAATTGATTTGGGGAGATTTACTGAGAGGTTATAGGAATATCCTCTTACTCAAAAGTGGAATCTCCAGGGTTTAGAACTAAGAAAAACGAAGTCAGTGACCAAGGTTACCTTCTCCATTTATCAAAGTACATTTATCACAGTGTTTCATCACCTCCTTTTCCTGTAAATACAGTTCTCCTTCCTATTACTTCTCTTTATGTGCTTGGGGTTGAACATACTTCTCGTCTACCTTTCTCCCCAGGTGAAATATAAATACTGAGTTTTAAATATAAGATAGATTTATTGTCTACAGAAAAAATCCCATTCTAGTTATTTGTACAAATGTCATTTTGTACATTATTCTTAGAGTTTCTTTTGTTTCAGTTTACTCTGTGACTGTAGATTTTTTTTCCCCATTTGTGCTCTTCTGCATTTTCCAAACTGACTAGGCCCTTCCTGGTGGTGCAGCAGGTTAAAGCACCACCAGGGTGAGAGGATTCACCAGAGACAGAGTAGAGAACAGAACAGGCAGATAGATCTACTGAAATACACTGCTGAGGGGAGCAGTGGGCAGGTCAGGAGAGGACTTCTGTGCCATATGGGTCAGCTCCCTGGCCGGGGATTGAACTCTCGTGCTGCAGTGGCTTCAGAGAGCTTGATGGTGTGGTGCTTTAAGCTGTTGCACTGTCAGGGAGAGCCCTCTTTTCACCACTTTTGTCTACATTTTGTTTATCTGATGTGTGAGTTCAGTGTGCTTTGAAACAATGTTATATAATTATGATCTCATTAAATTCTGTCATTTTTATCTGAGGCCAGTGTAGCACCTCCCACTGTACATAAACTCACTGTTCTATTTATACTTTAGGTATCAGTTACCATATGGCTATATGACAGTGTTATGGGCTAGAAATTATTATACCATTTTTACTTCAGAAAAAAAAATTAAACTAATTTAAATTAGAATAAAAATTGTATTCTGGCACCTCAAAGCTCAAATGCTATTCTATAAAAACTGAAGGCTATCAGTGATTATTTTAAAAGAATAACAGACATTTGCATTCTGCAATTTAGGAATATAATTCAAACCATCTTTTATGAACCAAATATTTTTAGTCTCTGTACTTGAAAAAGAATAAATGTAGTGTTTTTGTCAATTTTAGCCTGTTCCCAGAAGTTTGACATCTATACTGGAATGCCTGATTATTGCTCATTCAGTTGGAGTGGAAAGTCTTTTTGATGACTGCATGAAGTAAGTGATATGATGTAGCACTGAAACTATTAATTTAGGGATTCTTCCATTCTCCTTATTTCTGGGAAATTTTAGACTTGGCCTGTTTTCTTGGTGACAATGTATGTCGTTTTAATGCTTAACCAGTTGTGATAATTGACAAGAAGTATTGATTGAGATACTACTCAAGACATTTGGGATCAATTTTACTTAGGTGAATCACGGCTACTGATGTTAAAATCCATGCACCTAACCCAAAGTGTATTTAAAATACACAGTTACAGGAAAGGGAGAGCATAGTTAAGTCCTTCACAGAGTTCACAAAATTAGTGCATTATTAGTCAAAAAATAATTCTATATACTTATATGTGTACAATTTACATCATTATTAAAAACTAAAATTTTATTAGATATTATGATTTCTCCAAGTTGGGATTTTTTTTTTAAACAGATGTATTGTAAAGCATTTTGCAAGATTTTGGTCTGAGAGAAGCTTTGCAAATGTACCTCCTGAGATTCAGAAAAGTTGCCTTAATATGCTGATTCAGTCCTTAGTAAGTATAACTTAATACTCTTGTTTGTGTTTACCATTATTAAACTTTGTGCAGTTATTCTCAATGTTTTTAAAATAACTGTAGAATTATATGATAAAAGCAAGATGAGAGACTTAGGCAGCTAGCTAGAAAAAAATTTAAGCTGAATCTGTACCTCACATCAGGGTATGCCAGGATATATTCCAAACAGGTCAAGGATTTGAACGTACAAAAATGAAACTTTAAAACACTAAACAAACCTTGAAGATTATTTTATAACTTGGGCATTGGAGTGGAAATACAGAATTCCAGTGTCACTAAAAAAAAATAATAATAATTAAGATGCAGTAAGCAAAAAAAAAAAAAAAAGACTAAGGAAAATCAGGAGTTCCTCCATATTTATATTGACATATGCATGCAATAATGTTACCATCATTACAACACTGTAATAGCAACAATCTGAAAATAATGTAAATGCCTATAATGTAAATGCATTCAGTAGGTATCTGAATGCCTATTGTGGATTATTTCATCACTATTAAAATAACAAGACTATATTCTGAGAGAAAATACTCAATGTATACTAAGTGTAAAAAACAGACTACAGAGTGTTGTGCATATTAATGCCTCCACTGGAGTGAATGAAAGGAAAATTGCATTATGTTTTTGTTTGTATGTGTATAAAATATCTTGAAAGATACAAAAATGAATAGTACTGAAAGATACAGAAAAATAATAATAAATAACTGATGAAGAGAAATGAATGGCTTGGAGATAGAAGGAAAGGAAGGCTTTAGTATTGCCCTTTATATTTTTGAAATTTGAACCATGTGTTATGTTAACTGTTCATTTAAAATTGAATGTGTGTGGTCTGTAAGTATCACATTTTACCCCATCTTTGACCCTCAAGCTACTCTACATTTAATGTTTTGTACTTATATCAATAAAGAATAATATCACGGCCCTCCCTGGTGATTCAGTGGGTTAAGAAGTGGGTTACTAAGAAGCTAAAGCCACTTCACATGAGTTCGATTCCCGCCTGCCCCAGAGGTGACCACATGGTACGTCAGACCTCTCCTGACCTGCCCGCTGCTCCCCTCAGCAGTGTACTTTGTCAGTCGGCCTGTTCTGCTCCCCGCTCCGCATCTGGTGAATACACTCACCGCTCCTGCATTTCGGGCCTGTACTCCAGTTCTGTATGCACAAGTAAAATAAAAATAAATCTTTTTATAAAAATAAAAATAATATCACAAATTATCTATGTTATTATTGATCCCCATCATTTAGTTTTTCAGTAGATTCCAAGCTAAATTAGAAAAACTCTGCTCTATATCTGTATTTTTAAAAAGATTATGCCCTCAGACTTAACATTATATATATAATAAATACTTGGTAGATACCGGCCAAGTTTATTTGAATACTTTAAATTTGACTCTACTACAGTTGCCATAGTACAGCAAATTAGGCTTATTGCCTAGAATACTTACTAATTGCACAATTACTCAGAAAATCATCAGAGAAGGAAAAAATGATACACTCAAAAAGAACTTCATATATAACAAAATATGTAGCTTTTTACCTCGAATAAAGCAGTTGAAATATATCATGTATTAAAAAGAATTCTTGGTAAATGGGTAAAGTTTTTAAAAACTTTGATCTTCAAGATTAAACTTAATTTGACTTAGAAATTACTTACAGACTATTAGTTTCTGATGATGCTAACAGATTAACAAATGTCTGAGTGTCTTCTTCTGTGACCCACTTTTGTATAGACCCTGGGTGAACTATACAGTGGTGAGCTAAAACAGACACAGTCCATACAAATAAACAGCCTAGTAGGAGAAACTGATAGTAATCAAATAGTTGCACTTAAGACTGAGCAATTGCTGATAAAGTAAGTGCTCTAAAGAAAGGGACAGCTTCTCTGTTGGTAGGTACCAAAGGAACCTGATGTTCAAATAAGAATCAGGGAAAACAGCTTGAGTTGAGATCTGAATGATACAGAGAGAGAGCAAAGTATGTATCATGCAACTTCTGTTAAGGATTTCAGTCTGTCATTTCCATATTCTCTATTGCTCTGTAACAAGTCATCTCAAAACTAAGTACCTTAAAGCTAAAGCTTAATATTTCTCACAATTCTGTGGGTTGACTGGTTGGTTCTCCTGCTCATCTTGCCTGTGATTGCTTTTAGCTAGTTGTAGTGTGGGGGACTGTGCTCTGTGGTCTTTCTTAATAGCCTTCTTTATGGCCTCATGGCCCCAGAATACCAAGAGTAAAGCCAGAAGTTTCCAAGCATTGTGAGTCTTTGGTTATGGGATTTGTGCAACACAACTGTCCAAGCAAGTGAAAAGCCATTGTAAGTTTGGGAGGGAGGAAGAAATTGATTTTCACCTCTTGATGGATGTAGCTACAAAGAATTTGTGACCACGTTTTCCATTTCCTACAATCCATCAGTAACTAATAATTTTTTGACAAGTATTGTTTTAAGAACTTGAAATCAGACATGAATAAGATGCAGTGATTTATAAGTTGCTGTTTTTCCTTGGTTCATAAGGTATTTGTGAATTTTTGTTCCATAATGATCATATTCATGGACATTTTTTTCCTATGGTATAAATAATGAGTCATCATTAAATGAATCAGATATAAAAAGGAGAATCTTACCTAATTAGGGAAGAGGAAGACAACCACTAGAGACTATAAATAATTTTAGCCTTTCTAAATTTGTAATAAAGAGCAGGTACTTTATAGTCAGGGAAGAAAATTAAGGCTATGTCAATGTAGCCATGCAATTATGAATGATATCTGTAAGTACAAAAATTAAAAATCTTAGTAAAATAGTAGATAAAAGCCTACCAAAAATCTCAGGGAAGTCAAATTTTTCTTTACAGTTGTCTTATCACCTTGCTATCAGATTTGTTTTCACTATTTTTTTTATTACAAAAGTTTATTTTTACATCATTTTGTATATTTTTTTCCCATCTCAATTGTAATCCCCGCGGGTTTCCCATCACCAAGTCACCCATGTGCCATCACCATAATCCCGTGCATTTCCCTCCCCCCACCCCATTTTTGATCCCATTCCCCACTCCACCCCCACAAAATGTCTCTGGTATATGGTTGTTCATTATTTTTGTTGTTTTCCACCTGGTTCATTATACTCCTGCTATGAGTGAAGCCATCCGGTATTTTTCTTTCTCTTTCTGGCTTATCTCACTAAGCATGATCTTTTCCAGTCCCATCCAAGTTGCTGCAAAAGACATGTGTTTCTCTTTTTTGGTTGCTGAGTAATATTCCATTGTATATATGTACCACATCTTTTTTATCCAGTCATCTACTTTTGGGCATTTGGGCTGCTTCCATGTTTTTCCAATTGTAAAAAAAGCAGCAATAAACATGGGGGTACAAGTATCTTTTTCAATCAGTATTTTTTTGTCTTTTGGGTAGATACCTAGGAGTGGGATTGCTGGGTCGTAAGGAAGCTCCATGTTTAGCAGTTTGAGGAACCTCCAAACAGTTTTCCATAGTGGTTGTACTAGTTTGCATTCCCACCAGCAGTGCAGGAGAGTTCCTTTTTCTCCACATCCTCACCAACATTTGTTGTTGCTAGTTGTTTGAAGATGTGCCATTCTCACTGGGGTGAGGTGGTATCTCATTGTGGTTTTAATTTGCATCTCCCTTATTACGAGTGATGTTGAACATTTTTTCATATGCCTGTTGGCCATCTGCATTTCCTCTTTGGAGAAGTGTCTTTTTAGCTCTACTGCCCATTTTTTGATGAGGTTGTTTATTTTGTTGAGTTTCATCAGTTCTCCGTATATTTTTGTGATCAGTCCTTTATCGCTACTTTTGTGTGAGAAAATGTTTTCCCAATTAGTGATCTGTCTGTTTGTTTTTAGTAATGTCTCTTTTGCTGTACAGAAGCTCTTTACTTGATGTAGTCCCATCTATTTATCTTTGCCTTCACTATTGTGGCGTTGGGTGCTCTGTCTTTAAAGATGTCGCTGAAGTGTATGTCATGTAGTGTTTGACCCATCTGTTTTCACTATTTTTTAAAGGTGGATTCTTCCTACTTTGCACCTTTGGGTAGTTTTGAATCAGTGAATAATTATTACATGTAAAACTAATGGCAGAGATGTTAGCCACCTGGGATTTTGTGGTTTGTTGCAGGAAAAAAATCACAAGAAAACAGAGAACATTTGATAAAATATTGCTCAATATTTTATCAGCAGTAATCTAACTATTTTCCCAATATTTTTTAAATTATAAAGAATGATAAGAATGCTGCTTTTCTTCTGATGGAAAGTGACAGGCTCCTCGTCAGTTTACCCAGAGTGAAGTGGACGGAAGCGGCACTTGCTATGGCCTCTCAGCTGCAAGAGGAATGTATTGCATTTATTATTGAAAACTTCTCTAAGATTATTCAAAGTGAAAATTTTGCTCTTCTCTTACAGGTACAGTTTCTAAAATTATATCCTACATTTAATACCATCTTTGTGTTGTATTTTAATTATGTAAGAGTTTTTGAATTCAGTTTGCCTTTGATTAAATTAGTATGGCTTAAATAAATTCCATAGCAGATGGCATATTTGCATAGGATTTAGAGCAGTGATGGGCTGGATTTTTGGCTCACAAGATACTGAAAGGGTGTGGGGGGGAAGGTTTTAGCGCTCTGGCAAGCACAGTATAACTGGCCAACACCAACCTTCAAGGAACCTAAGCCATATTTTAGGAGCCAAAGTCTTAAAGATACTGTTTTGGTCAGTAATCAATTGTGTGCATGTAAACTTGTCTTACTTGAGACCCCTTTCTCTAAAATTAGTTATTGAACTTCTATCACTTACTTCCAAGTTCTATTTTCAGGACTGTTTGGGTACTTATGTGTGTGTGTATGTGAACATATGCAGAAATGTTTCACTTTTGTTTTACTGTAATTATAAATAGGGTTATTATGTTATACAATTATAATAATAATAATCACTATTGTTACTAACAAAGGAAATAAGATTTCTAGTTGACTTCATACAGCCAGTTATAAGAAATGGTCTGCCATTATGCCAGATCTTCACATTTTGTACACATTTTATGTATAGTCTTACTAAATACCAGTTTCTGTGTTTTGTAGTCACAAGCAATGAGCAGCAAAGCTGATCTCTTGGAAAAAATACTGAAAGCAATTGAAGAAAACATTACTACTGAGAATAGTTGCTCTCTTCTTATGGCTCTGGACACATTACTAAACTCTGACCATACAAAAGAAATGGTATTGAATGTAATAAAGTTTATTGAAATGATAAAATATTTGAACTCTTAATATTTTTAATTGTGTGCACATTTTAATTGTTGCATGATTCATTGAAACTAGGTGATAGAACTAGGGAGTTGATTAGAGTATTTAACTTTTGTGTATGTTTGGAATATTTCATGATACAAAATTTTTAGAATTTCATTTACTTCTAAATGGATTTAAGAAGTTTAGAATTTGGCATTTTCCAGGCTAATTCTAAACACAATTTGGTATTAGCAATATTAATTAGTAAAGTATAACTCTAGTATTTTCCTCCATTCACTCACTAGATTAAATTTCTTAAATAAAAAACTTACATAGAATTGTAAAGAATATTTTTAAATTTTAAAACATCAGTGTCTTTCGTTTTTATAATATATTAATTATTTTTGTCTTCAGAAAAAAAATTGGACTGTGTGGAAAATAAATATTTAAAAATAACTTATTTTTAAATGCAGTTAATCAATGACAATAAGCTAATTGCAGATTATTCACATATTTGCTTAACTGGAATGATAAAATATTTCATCATACTTATTGTATAAGTATTTGACCTTGTAATATCAAGGTTGATTTGAAAAGGCTGTGTAAGGTATTCATGTTAAAGCCATTGATGGTTTAAAATAATGTTTGGTTGAAAGGATAAGGTTTAGCTTCATATTCTCTATAAAACCCTGTTGTTGAAGGATAAGCCTTCATAAATAACATGTGACCAACGATCTTAAAAATCTAAGTGATGACATCATTGATCTAGCTTAGGAGTAAGTAGATTCGGAAAGGAATAATGACTGGTTGCTATGACAATGTGGCTCTCACCAGCTGCTGATTTGTTGCTTGAACACAGGGTTTTACGTGTAAGATCCAGGCTCTGCGTGATAAGCTGTGGGTCTTCCTGGTTCAGTCTTTCTACGCTGTTCGTCACACAGAAAGCTGGAAGCTGATGAGCACAGATGATCAACAGAAAATCCAAGCAGGTATGTTAGCCTTGAAATTTTTTTATTCTTACATTATGATCTTTGTGACCAGAGATATTTCGAGGGAGTTCTAATTTGTGGTAGGATTAATGTTTGTTTATTTCTATTCAATAATAGCTTGCTAATTGAAACTAGTGATAGTATGTTCAGGCAGTTTTAATAAATCATGCTTTTTTGCTCTACTTAGAAAAATGAAACTCATTTCCTTTATATATCTATCTCTCTCTGTATATATGCACATATATATTCACAGGAATTTTTAATCCTATTCCGTATTAGCAACAATGTTTCAGACAAATTTTCTTACAAGCATTCTCAAGAGAGTAAAGTAGAGAAAAATATAATCCACATAGAACAAATGAATAAACATACTTTATCTCCCTTTTAAAATGTAGTTTGTCATAAAGCTTTTCCATCTTTCGCATATGATATCCTTTCTTGTGGTTTTGCCTAGATTAGATGGATTTATTTCACAATTGATTGATTCAGTGAGATGGTGTGTGCTACTGCGGAGTGTCCCTCAGGAGACCGCACAGCGGTCTCTGACATTTAAAGGCACCATTGGAAGCATTGGAAGCATTAGCTTCAATAAAAGATGTAGCTTGCTCAAAATGTATGTTTGGTTCAAAAACATTAAAATAAAATTTTAAGGGTGTGGAACTGAAAAATGGCTTCATGACTATTTTTGGGTTAAAGCAGGTGCCTTAGAAAAAAATGCTGACAGATTCAGCAAGTATACTTTTCAGAAACACTCTAAGTTGAGACTGCAGTTCATGAACCAGACATTTTTACACTATACAGCATGGAAGCCATATGTGATATATTATATTTCTAGTGGTGAATTGATAGGTTAAGTTCTTTAATGAATTAGTCAGAATATAATCTGTTCTGCTTTGCGCTATGAGCATAACATGATAGTGGAGCTAGATGTGCTCTAAGAAAACACTTCTCAAAGAAATTCCAACAAAATAATAAGAAAAACAAGAAAAGATCCTTAGAAATTGGAATTTTTTCCCTGTGACTATCTCTGTCCTGATTTTTTAGATGACAGCTTTCTTTACTACAAAGATCTATACCTTGAAGAAATAAGACCAGCATTTCATGAATAGGTGTCTTCAACTCTTTTTGGTTGATAGTAAACTTTGTTTTTCTCCATCTTAGAGGATTTCATGGTAAAGTTGGGCCTCAACCAATGTTCTTTATCTTAATTCAAAGTGCTAATTTAAAATATATATGAATACATATATATACACACATAATCAGAACAGACTGTTTTTAGTAATCCAGCTATTGCCAAAAGACTTTCCAACTTACAATACCATGTAAGTGTAATAATATATTTTTTTCTTAAATGTATTGAATTATAATGAATCACGATTTGTACATAATTACTACATTGGGAAACCACAGATAAAGGAGTGATTTCTAGATTGTGTTTTGTAATAACATTTCTTATGTTCTAGCGGAGTTAACTGACCTTTGGAGGAATTTTTGTATTAATTTTTCCCTGTTGTCATTCTATAAGTCAGTCTGTATAATGCCATTTCTAGGATCCTACTTATCTTATAGTACAAATTCTATACAATAGAAATAGTAGAAGGCGCATGGTATAGTTACAGATAATTTAATGTATTTTCATCAACTCTTTTAATAAAAATCAATTTTGGGGAGATTATAAAACTATACTTAAAGCTCTCCTCCCATTATTCCTATATATTTAGCTCTTCTACCATTATTCCTACATATTTACCTGATGTCATTCAATTCTTATTTGAAGAACACAAACATGAGTTCTCTAATAATTCTCATATAAGCCTAATTTGGAAAATACATTCTTATGTAACTCTAAAAAGAATTATGTGGGTTTGATGATTATTTCTTTTTTATTTTCAAAGACTCTTATTTATCTTTTTTCCTTCTTCATGATTTACCTGCTAAGCCAAGTAATAATTAATTTCAACAGAATAGTTTTATTTTTTAAAGTAATCATTTTTCATATTCAATAGTTCTTACAACCTGTAAACTTAAAATCTGGAATATTAGTTGAAGCTGATTATTTCTAAAATTTCACATCTTGAGAAAACTCTTAGTTTTTTTTTAAGTTGAGATATACATTTCTTATTTACTAATTTTAAGAACATCAGTCAATGGGAGCCAAAAAAGTTTGAAATTTAGGGTTTTTTTTTTATGTTTAAAATATAAGGGGAGGGATTGTTTAACTAGATTAATATATACCAAATTGGTTCAGCTTTTAAAAAGTAATTTCTATCAAATTGTAATCATTTTTCTTCCTTATTAGTTTCTATCTACTTCAGTGGTAATTATAGTGTCTCCTATAAAAGTAAACTGCTATTTCTTTCTGCAGCTGCATTTGACAAAGGTGATGATCGAAGACTTGGCAAAAAGCCCATATTCAGTAGCTCTCAGGTAAACTCTTAAAATTTTATAGTTCTCTGTGAAAAGAGATACCAAATAATTTTTTTTTTTTGCATTTCAGAATAGTTAAAAAAATCTATTCTTTCATTGAGTACAACTATTTCTGAATAGAGGTAATTTTGAGTCTTTTTGTAATAAAGTGAACATTTCATAATTTCATTAATGAGATGAATTTTTATATCTAACTGGCATAGAAAGTGAAATATTGTCTATCATTTTTATTTCCTTGAAAACCTTTTTGGCAGTTAATATATTGGAGCTAGTCCAGTAGGTCAGAAACTGTCTAGAATTCTAGACCTCATTTGCTGTCTAATTTTTAAATTAACCTACTTCCAGAGGAAGATTTTAATTGTCCCAATTTTCTCTATACTATGATTTTATGATTCACCTAAGATAGTTTTTAGTATGAAAAGGTAACTATCTTCAAGAGCTGTGTTTGGCTTTAGAAGTTACCTGGTGTACTTAAGAGATATCTAAAGTAGTAAACTCTTAGGAAGTAGACAGAGTTGGCAGAGGTTAGGGTGACAAAGGTAAAAACAAATTGTTGCTCAGTTATTATGGAGTTCCAGCTTTGCAAGATGTACAAGTTTTAAAAATCTGTTGCACAACAAGGTAAATGTAGCTGACTTTACTGCTCAACCCTCTTGAGAATGGTTAACATAATAAATGTTATTCATTTTTTACCACGCACACATGCACAAAGGTTACTTGGTGTATTAGTTATGACATGAACTATAAATTCTAGTCCTTGATAATGATAGTGCATGTTCCAAGCTAACTTACCTGTTGCTACCTAATCAAATATGTATATGAAGTATAAAATTATTCTAACTAGTACATGCATTGCAGTCTTACAGAGACACATATTGAGAGTTTTGGTTTGGGATGCAAAGAACATACTGCCTTTACAGATTGGAGTAGGGAGTCTTTTCTTCGCTGCCAGTAGATAGGAAATTATACAACTTCAAGCCACAACAGAGACCTGTCATGGCTTGCGGCAAAGATTAAGCTGCAAATGTCTTGGATGAGAAACTATAGAACACTGGAGCATCTTGCTTGAGAACTTTCTAGGACTATTTTTCAAGTGTGTTCCACAAAATACCATCGCTATCATATGTTCCAACTAAGAATATACGTTGCCATTGTACTTGAGAATCTGTGTACCCAGTAGGTCCCCTTAGAGACTAGCACCTTATAAAAATTCTGAGAAATACTACAGTAATGAACACTTTTGAATTCTGTTTTACTCAACATTTCCTTTAATTTTTATAACTATGAAACACCACTAGACTCCCCTTTTGCCCTTTTTTTCTTTTAAATTTATTTCTTTATGCAAACAGAACTGGGGTACAGTCCAGAGGTGTGAGGGATGAGAGGATTCACCAGAGACAGAGTGGGGAGCAGAACAGGCGGACTGACTGGAATACACTGCTGAGGGGAGCAGCGGGCTGGTCAGGAGAGGACTACTGCGCCATGTGGGTCAGCTCCCTGGCTTGTGCTGCAGTGGCTGCAATAGCTTCATAGTGCTGTGCTTTAACCCTTCATAGTGCTGTGCTTTAACCCCTTGTGCCACCAGGGAGGGCCCCCCTCACCCTTTTAAGTATCTTAATGTAGCTTCACACAACGTGCATTAGGAGATGATACCTTAGGGTATAGAGTATTTTGCTATATCCTAGTTCCTGAGTATCTCCCATGTGTTTAAGACCCTCAGAAATTACCCTCTCTGCCTTTTGTTTTCTGCAGTTCTGCTATCTTTTATAAACCAGGCTTTCCTCCTTCCTTGCAGCAAAATAAACCAAATCTCATTGCTCTTTCTTACCCTCCTGTGTTTCAGGCTGTTAATTGTTACTGTTAACCACAGTGGGAAGGAAATGGGTGATACACTTTCCTCAGAAGGACAGTAGTATACTGAAATGGGAGCGAAACATAGAATCAGAAGAGTTCAAATCTGACTCTACATTTATTATCTGTTATCATCTGTGAGGCTTGTTTGCTTCTCTGTAAAATGGAATAAAAAAATTAGCAGGATTATTGTGAAAATTGAGTGAAATAACGTATGTACAATTATCTGTTATGTAGTAAATGCTTAATAAATGTGAATGAACAAATGTGTGTCCAAAGAGATAAGATCTTTTGGAGTTGGGAGAAAGTTAATGAGAGTAGATTTAGAGAAAGTTTCCATTGTATTGGTGGTCTGGAACTGTGAATAAAATTAGGTGTCTGGGATTTGTGACAAAATAAAATAGAGGTAGTAATATGCGAAACAAAATGCTAAGAGTTCATCATTATTAAAGCTGGGCAATAAGTGTATGCAAGACTGTACTATTCAGTCCTCTTTTGATTATGTTAAAATTTTTCTATTTATATGTAGGAATATATAAAATTTAAACATTATCTATATATAGAGAGATATTGATAGATAGGTATAGATATAAATGTATACATACAGGTATATATATAAAGGAATAGTACTACAATTAAAAGGGACCTAAGCGGGATGTTTTAGGGGCTCTTTTTCTTCTTTTTTGTCAATAACATGTGGTTGATACCAGCCCAGCCCAGAGCAGCCTTGAGTTCTCAAGAATGCAGTACCTCGAGACACCAAGTGGAACAGAGGCACTGTGGCTCTAGTGGAAACAGGAGAACCAGAGGACAGAGCTCCGGGATGAACCCTGGACAGGGTCTCCTCCTGGAGTGCTTTGCAGCTTCCCTGCAGACACACTTCCTCTTGTTCTACTTTCCTGTAATTCTTGCTGTGAGGGAGGATCAAGGCCACTCAGTCAGGTTCTTTGTTCTGAGCCAACTTAGTCCCAAATTTTTGTGTTCTCCTGAAATATACTCAAAACATGTCGTGAGCATCCTGGCGCCGCCAGTGGGAGTCATTGCATGCTAACTGGGGGTGCGTTCCTAGGGAGGCCACTCACTTTCTTCCCCTGGCTAGTCTCTGAAGGAAGTTCAGTGTCGTTAATTGCTGATTTTGACACTTGTTATTACCACAGTTGACAAGTTGGTGCCTTTTACCACTTGCCCTGGGGCACAATTATTTATTATTAATTATTATGATTTATTTTTAATATTTATTATTAACTACCTGTTATTATCACAGGTGGCACCTTTCACCATCTGTTTTCCAACACCATCCCTGCCCCTCTCACATGATGACTATTCCCAGCTGGTCATTTGTATATAAGAAGGACATAAACTCTGCAGAGTTACTCAGAAACTGCCTAGGAATGCATATACATTAAATCCTCGCCATGCTCTATTATGTTCGTGTGACTATCTAGAGGAATATATTTATTCCATAAACTGTATAGATCTTGCATATTACATGATGCTTTAAAATAGATTCAAGGATGGAGGAATAGAGTAAAATATTTATTTTATTTATTTATGCATATAAGATCTGGGGTACAGGCTAGAGGTGCAGGGATTGAGAGGATTCACCAGAGAAAGAGTGGGGAGTAAAACAGGCATATTCACCAAAACATACTGTTGAGGGGAGCAGCAGAAGAGACAGGAGAGTCTGTTGTACCAGTTGCTGACAGCTTCATAGTGTTGAACCTTAACCATTGGTGGCACCAGGGAGGCCCAGTCACCCTCAAATTGTATCAGATAGTTGACTGTCTTCTTAAAGTATGATCTTGGGTCCTAGTTCTACTCATATCAACGTGTGTCCTTTCATTGCTTTCCTAGTTTCTTATTCAAGAAACAGAGGTACAGTGGGCTAACACATAGGATTGTTGTACGGTTTCAGTAAGCTGATTTATGGAAAGGGTTTTAGCACTTCTATAGGTATTAACCTCTTCTATAACTAAACTTAAATAGCTTGCCTTTTTAAATAATATTGCCTTTCACTTTCTTCTGCTATATTTCAGAGTTGACTAAGGTAAGATGATCAATAGCACATTCAAAGTCTTGATCAAAAATTCAAATTTTGAGTGGTTCTGAATCATAACATGGACTGTAGCTTTTCCTCTTTGAAAAACTGGCTTATCGAAATGTGAAAGTATTACATGTCAAAACCATAAGTCATATTACAAAGTACTTTTTTATTCTTTGTAGCAAAGAAGACAACATTCTGACTCTGGTCTTATAAAAAACACGTCTTTGAGAGTAAATAACAAGAAAGAGTGTTGGAATTATCCCTCTACCAAGCAAAAGATGAAATCCGATGGACTAGGAGCATCAGGGCATACATCAAGTACAAATAGAAATACTATAAATAAAACTTTGAAGCCCGATGATTTAAAGGAAAAAGGTAGTGCCAAAATAGCATCAAAGTTTACAAAAGAATCAAAAACTGGGGTGAAAACTGTTCCTGGAAAGCCCAAAGCTATAATAAAATCCAAAACAGAAAATAGTGATGATACAAAATCAGCAAATGTGTCACCTAGACAAGCTGTGGAAAGAACAGCAGCAGCAGCATTAAACGGACAGAAAAATCCATTAAATGGAAAAGGAGAGAGAAATCAGGAAGGGCAAATTACAGGTGCCAGACCCAAGATACTCACTGGAAACTTCAATGTGCAAACCAAAGCAAAGCCTTTAAAGAAAGTGACAGGAAAAGGTTCTCCAAGCAGCAGCATCGCAGGGCGCTCCGGCAGATCTACCAATTCAAGTATGGAATTATTGATTTCCACTGAATGTCTGGAAGAACCCCGGAAAAATGGATCAGTAGAAGAGAAGTCTTCTAGTCATCCACAGTCCCTTCATGAATCTCCAAGACAGACAGTAAAAAACAATGTTGAAACTGTCAAAACTTCCACTGTAGGTAAGTTTTAACACTTTTTTTGTTCTTTCTAAGGTAATATTTTTTTACCACACTGTATAGGTTTCAGATGTACAGTTTCTCACCTCAGCAACTGTATACATCGCACCAACACCCACCCCCAAATGTCACTCATCATGCCCCACCAGCCTGTCAGCCCCTCTATCTATTCCCTCCCACTCCTTCCCCTCTAGAAACCACCATTCTGCTGTGAGAGCCCAAGAGTTTGTTTTTGTTTTGTTTGTTCATTTGCCTTTAAGATTTGTTTTTGCATAGAAGAACTGGGGTACAGGCCAGAGGTTCAGCGGGTGAGAGGATTCACCAGAGACAGAGTGGGGAGCAGAACAGGCAGATCTACTGAAATACACCGCTGAGGGGAGCAACAGGCAAGACAGGAGAGGTCTGCCATGCCATGTGGGTCACCTCCCTGGCTGGAGGACCCAGGCCTTAGCAGTGGTGGCACTGAGGCTTAACCCCTAGATCACCAGGGAGGCCCCCCTTTTTTCTTTATATTCTACAAATGATTGAAATCATGTAGTACTTTTCTTTCTCCTTCTGAGTTATTTCATATAACATAATGCTCTCAAATTCTGTGTTCTTGCAAATGGCAAGATTTCATCTTTTTAATGGTTGAGTAGTATTCTATTATTATGTATCTTTTTTTATCTACTCAGCTGCCTCAGGCACTTTAATTGTTCTGTATCTTGACTACTGTGAATATATGGAGTGGCCTCATTTTTAATAGCTCCTAGGAAATGTTCCTTGGAAAATATCAACATACCTAGGAAAATATAAACCTATGTTTGGATTTTTATTTAGTTTCAAATGCCAAGAAGTCTTTATTTACATATCGTCATACAAACAAAGAGAAAGCAGTTCTTCCCATACTAACATTAAATTTTGTTTATAGTATCTGAGCAGTGAATTTATACATACTTGTTGCATGATTAGTGTTCTCTGACCTGACCCATTTATTCTTTATGTACAGGAGTAAAATTTAGACCTGTTTCAAAAGTTACCAATGGAACTTCAAATAAAAAAGCCATTCATGAACAAGAAAATAATGTAAATAGCAGGTAAGTCTTCATTCATTGTGCTACCTATATATTGGTTTTCTCTGAAGGTTAACTATATACTGTCTAGCTAAATATTTTTTCCTTTTTATTTTATATATGTATATATATATATATATATATATATATATATATATATATATATTTTACATCTCATTTGTAATCCCCGGGAACTTCCCACCACCAATTCACCCACGTGCCATCACCATAGTCCCATGTGCTCTTCCCGCCCCAGTTTTGATCCTATTTCCCTCTCCACCCCTATAGAATATCTCTGGTTTATAGTTGTTTGTTGATTTTCATTTTTACATATTACAATTTTTTTTTCCGATCCCTGACACTCCTGCTAAGTGAAACCATCCTGTATTTTTCTTTTTCTTCCTCAGTTATATCACTAAGCATGTCCCTTCCAGCTCCATCCATGTTGCCACAAATGGCATGAGTTTATCTTTTTTGATTACTGAGAGGCTGAATATTTTTTCTTCTTGCTTAGAAAATCTCATGTATTTACCAGTGATATTTTAAAACTTTTATTTATTAATAAAGAAATTACTTTGTTTTAAGCAGAATGATGGATGATAGAAAATAATAGTGGAATACTTAATTATACTTATGGCACTTGATTATCTCTTGCTTTATCATACTTGGTCATATAGCTTTATAAATTGAAGACTTATGAACAGGTGGTTTTTCTGTTTTCACAAAAGGGAAATGTTCTTTTTTTTAATTTCTTTGAGGAAAAATATATTTCACATATGAATCTTTTTAAAAGTCCACTTTTGGGATCCTTGAAGTAACGCTGAATGCACATCATTTTTCTTAGTGTGCTAAAGAAGGTCACTAACAAAGGATGTAGTGATTCAGGACCACAAGCAATTTTAAAGAAAAGAGGAAATAGCACTGGATGTATTACCACCCAGCAGAAAATGAAAAATGGCCCTTCTGGTCTTGCTAAAGCTCAAGGTAAGGCTGAGAATGTCCCTTGTTTAAACTGAATAAGCAGAAGTCTCACTTGAAATGTCAGCTGCAAATAAGCAAAATGCAACTGGTTTCAATAATTATTTATTTTGTTTAAAACTAGAGAGATCAGGTTTTATACTTTTACTTTTCAGGCAAGTGTTTTGGTATTTTGGGGTATGGCTTTGTTTTTTATTTTCATCTGTGAGAGAAATTATTAAGATGTCACTAATATATCTGCATTTCTGGCCCTTTTATATATTCTAATATGTTTCTTCGAAGTTTCATTGATAATACAGGAATTCTATCCACAGAATTAGCACTAAAGAGCCCCTTAAAAAAATAGTAATAACAGCCTAGAGTGCTGTGTTATGAATGAAGACTTTTCCCTTGGTAATCTTGTGTTTTGCCTGTTGTTTGACCATGCCCTAAGAAAGAAAATATTACTGATTGTATTGCTTTATTTGCTAAATGTAACTGATTTTATAAATTAATGTGCTTTATTCAGTAAGCATTTACATAAAAAATAGCTTAGAAGAAACTGAAGTGAATTTTGAGTTGAAGGAATAATTATTACTTAGTAAAAAAAATAAGGCAGAGAAAGATTATTCATGTTCTAGCAATAGCTAAAAATTCAATATTTTAAAATATTGGCAATGTTTAAAAAAATATCAGTAGGACATAAACCAGCATAAACAAATGAATTTTCAAAATTTACCTCTTTTCCTCCCGTGACCAGTTTTAGTTTACTCTTCTATGTTCTGAGTTGACTCTAATGACCTATAATAATGATCTGGATGTGAGAAATAAATTTATTTTATTCAGGTTTGAGTAAAAATTTGTGACAATGTCAACATTTCTGTTGTATTTAACTTGATTCTCCTCTTCAGCTATATGGAACAGCCCCCTACTCTTTTCTTACCCACCCTCCCCCCAAAAAAGTCTTCAATGGAAAACCTTTCCTGCCATCTTGCTCTTTTGGTACAAAAAAGACAGGCTTCTCCATGTCCATATGTTCATGTAGATCCAATTCTAACCTAAAGATCAACACTTTTTACTTGAAGAAGAAATAATCCATAAATTTTACTAAGATTCTGAAAAAGCCCCATTATATTTATAGTAGAAAGTTTTTTATCATGTCACTCACTCCTAATTTGTGATTGCCCATGTAATCCTAGTTATATTACCATTTCATTATTGATCTTATTTCTTCTAAAGTAACTTAAAAACAACTGTTAAGTTTCATTTATGAATTGGAAGGTATATATATTTTATTTTTGAATTTTCTTATCTTAGGGTCCCAAGGAGAGTCACCCAATTCAGTAAAATCTTCAGTCTCATCAAAACAATCTGATGAAAATATGACAAAGTTGGACCACAGTACAACTACAGATAAACAAATACCCAAGAGAAAAATTGTCAAGCAAGGAAATACAACTTTGCCTAAAGTTAATGCGAAAGTAGTTACAATGCCTAAAAATCTAAATCAATCTAAGAAAGGTGACACTTTGAATAATAAAGATCCAAAACAGAAAATGCCTCCTGGACAGGTTATATTGAAGACTCAGGCTTCTTCTCAAAGACTTTTAAAAAGTGAAACAGCAGTTGTCCAGAAAAGTATGCATCATGATTTCTGTGATAATAATAATAAGGGTAATAATATTTCTGGACAGAAGCCTCTTGAACCGCTAATTAATCTCCCATCCAAAGTCGGTGGTACAGAAGCCTCTCAGTCATCATGCAAACCTAGCTCACAAAAGCCATTATACAATCACAAACAAGAGAAATTGGTATTAGAATGTCAAAACATGTCAAATCTGGATAAAGCAACGAAAGATGACCTGGAATCAAAACGTATTTGTTCAAATAAAAGTGAACCTAAAATTTCCAGTCACAAAGATCATTGTAACGCAACTAAAACACATACTGGGAGTGATAATGTAGATTCGAAACTTTATAGCACCACTGCCCTAAAATCCATGGTCTTAAATCCAAATGAAAATTCCTTGAACTCTAATCAGCTTTATGATTTAGATTCAACAGAGGCAGGGCAAATTCAAATTCATTCAATATCAAATAGGGAAAAGCAAGTAGGGAGGGAAGATATAATTGAAGCATCAAGCATTAAATGTGTGAAAGATGTTTTACCTTGTGTTCCTGAAAGGACAGACACTATGTTAGATTCTGTGTGTGCTGACAGAAAAGCTGTAATTCATGTAGAAAAACAGACAATTCCTAGTGACTTGTCTGATGACTCTGTTATGAAGGAAGACAAACATACAACAGCAGATTCACATACTTCCTCCAAGTGTTTTTTGGAACGAATATCAGGAAAAAATTCTCCAAAAGAGATGGAAACAACTGAAACTCCAGAGAACCATGACATTCCAGAAGTGCCATTTATGAGTCACTGGAATTTGAGCACCAGTGTTCTGCACCACAGAGAGAGTCCAGAGTCTGACACTGGCAGTGCCAGCACTTCCTCTGATGACATAAAGCCCAGGTCTGAAGACTATGATGCTGGAGGCTCTCAGGATGACGACGGGTCCAATGACAGAGGTATATCTAAATGTGGCACAATGCTGTGCCACGACTTCCTTGGAAGAAGTAGCAGTGATACTAGTACGCCTGAAGAATTAAAAATATATGATAGTAATTTAAGAATTGAAGTCAAAATGAAAAAGCAAAGCAGTAGTGATGTTTTCCAAGTTAATTCGACAAGCGATGATGATGCTCCTAGGAAAAAGCCAGAAATTTGGTCTCGATCTACAATTGTCCACCCCAGGGAAAAAGAAAATGTTCCACGAGGCAGTGTCCATTTTGCTCAGGAAATAGATCAAGTTTCCTCTTCAGCAGATGAAACAGAAGATGAAAGGTCTGAAGCTGAAAACGTCATAGAGAATTTCTCTGCATCTAACGCAGCTCCTCAGCAATTTCAAGGAATCATTAACTTAGCTTTTGAAGATGCAACTGAAAATGAAAGCCATGAATTTTCTGCAACTAAAAAATTTAAAAGGTCTGTTTTACTTTCAGTAGATGAGTGTGAGGAGCTAGGATCTGATGATGGAGAAGTCCACACTCCCCTTCGACCTTCTGTAGGTTGTCTTTCACCTTCCGATGTTTTTGATGGTGTTTTCCGCGAGCATCGTGGAAGGACTTGCTATTCCAGATACTCACAGGGAAGCGAAGGCAGTATCTTAGAACATAAACAAGATAAAGGCAATAGTGTATATAAAAATGAAAGCTCACTTTTGAGTCTGGGTAATACTGACTCTTCAAAAAAAGACAAGCAGAGTACTTCAGCTACAGAAACAAAGAACACGCTAGATGTCCTGGCCAAAGGAGACAGACAGCTTCTACCAGAGGACAAAAAAGGAAACAGCGGAAGTGATGCGGATAATGACTTTCAGCACCGCAGCAAACTCTCCGATAATGATATAAAATCTCAAGAAAGACCATGTCATTTGGCACTTCATCACAGAGAACCCAGTTCTGACATACCAAAGGACAACTCTTCAAAGTCTCTGGACTCCTGCTGGAGTCAAGCTCTGCCTCAGGAAGGTCAAGTGAAAGAGAGCCATTCCACAGCTACCGAAAAAGCTAATATTGCTTTATCTGCAGGTAATGTACAGAAATAGAAGTGCTAAATCCATAAGAAAATGAATTTATAGAATGTTAAAGTTGTATGTAGCCCTGGATGTTATATTTTAGTTAGAAAGAATAAGCAAAAGATTCAGAATTTAAATGAGAATATCAATGTCATAATAATAATGAAAGTTACCTAGTTACTCTGTTGTTCAGTTGAAATCCTAGTAAAGAACTAGTATCTAGGAAAATTTTTGACTAATCTACTAAGATTTTACATGAAAGAAAAATTTAGTTTGCTATTATTTAGTTACTTCTGTCTGATTTAACAGGAATTCTTGACTATTAGAAATTTATTATGCATTGCATATGACTTATGGACTATGCTAGCATATATTTAAGAGGGCTGTGCAATAACTATAGTAATGTTAACTAAAAGCACTGAACTATTTTAGCTGGGTTAATTATTAAAATTATACACATTTTCCAAGAATTAAGACTTTCCGAATCACTGTAATTCTATTCTGAAATTTTCTACTATAAAGGTAAATTTCCTAAAAGAGATTATATCAAGAAGCATTGATAATATATGAAAAAAGAGTCCAGGCTTATTTCATATGATTAGATGACCTTCTGTCCAATCATTTTGTGTGTTTGTCCTCTTTATTATAGTAACTTGAACCAATCGTCACATTAAAATATGCAATAGTAGCTGACGAAGTAGCCATCACATATCAGAACTAAGGAAAATACTGATTGAGCAAGAATAGGGAGCTCTTTAAAGTTGTACCTTTTTTATTTTTATTTTTTGTCCTTGCTTGCATCCTCCTTTGCATGTGCAATATAAAAATAAGCCTTTAGAATAAATGTACTTATTCCCATTTTAGAACTGACTTAATTTAAAAGTCATCATCAAATAACTGTGTCCTTTTTTCCTCTTTAAGTTTCTATGGTAGTGAATTAGATACATGTGCACATTCTATGTTCATGTTTAAATAATTTGTTGTTTTTTGTATCACAAATTTTCAAATTCAATTATGTAGAATTGTTAGTTGCCTGTGTTGATTTTGCTGCTACACATTATGCTTGAGTTCTTTTAAGATACAAAAATATGCCTCAAAAATCTCATCAGTTTTGTATAAGTATCATTTTTTCCCATTCTGTTTTTTTTTTAACTATAACTGAGTTACTGTATTATATTGTTCTACAAAACTCTGAGGGGTACCAACATGTGCAATTTTTACATTGTGTAGTATTATGAATTATTTCAGGAGACATAGATGATTGTGACTCATTGGCACAAACCTACATATATGACCATCGACCTTCAAAAACCCTCTCTCCAATATATGAGATGGATGTAATAGAAGCATTTGAGCAGAAAATGGGATCAGAAACACATGTTATGGACATGAATTGTGAAGACGATCAGCACTTTGCAAAACAAGATTGGACTCTGTTAAAGCAACTGCTCTCTGAACAGGATTCAAACTTAAATATTACAAATTCTGTTCCTGAAGACTTAAATTTAGCACAGTATCTAATCAATCAAACACTACTTTTAGCACGCGACAGCTCAAAACCTCAGGGTAAAGCACACGTTGACACTTTGACCAGATGGAGTGAGCTACCATCTCCACTTGATGATTCCTCAGCAAGCATCACCATGACAAGTTTTTCCTCTGAAGATTGTTCACCCCAAGGGGAATGGACTATTCTAGAACTGGAAACTCAGCATTAAGAGTATTAACATTTTAGAAAATTTTAAACTCTACCACCCCACCACTTTTTGTTTATGTTTATATTATATGAAAATAATTATTACATTAGCCAGAGATAGACTGTCCTTAATATTGAGGGAGTCTTTCCAATTTATTGAGGTAAACATACTTCATTAGTTAATATGATCTCACCTGTAGAAAACAAATGTTTCTCTACAAATTTTGAGCATGTTTTCTATAATTATTAGAGAAATTAGAAGAGGTATAAGGAAAACCTTGCTTCAATTTTCCATTCCTAACTGATCTTTTGTTCACTTGTTCATCATTCAGGAATTTAAAATGTGAATGCACAAATAGATCAGTCCCTTTACTTTTTTGCTCTGCATATGGTAAATTGGTAATTCAATAATAAAAATGTATCGTGCTTGTGTCTATTTATGTAGAGTTAATCTGTGAGTAACATTCAAATTCAGGTTGATATGGTTGAGGCTGATAGCTGAGGGTCAGTAAAAATCTTCATTTCCCCAACAATTGAGATCCAGGAAATTGTGAAGTAAATATATTCTCCAATTTCATTGTTACTAAAATAGAGAAATGTTACTAAAATAGAGAAATGGAATTTTCTAATTCCATTTCTAAAATAGAGAAATGGAATTCTCTAATTCTCCTTTGGGGATATATTCAGAGAGGGAAGACTGCCTTTGTTCAAAAGAAATGGGGAAGCTAGCCATCTGTTCTCTAAGGCTTCCTTTATAGTTACCTGTCACTCCAATTTCCATTCCATGTCAGAGATATTTTAGAACTGCACCTGCAATAAGTCTGCACCAAAAATTTAACTAGAAAATGGGTATATGAGGCAGTTGAGTCAATGAGCATGGCTAACATATGTGTGTTTTTTAATGCATTATCTAGATCTCTTCTTTATTTCCTTGATCAGATGACATTTTCTTTTGTAATGTCAGTAACAAAGCAAAGATAAAAAAATTTTTAAAAAGGCTACTGAGGAGTGAATTCTTAGGTACAATACTGATATTGTGGATGTTGCCTCTAAGGTAAATGAGATTTACTAGAATCAACTTCTTTCTCTAAAGTATGTCAGAAGTGAGGAAATATTTTGGCTTAGAAGTCCTTTCCTAAATTAAAATTGTCAACAAATGGTCAACAATAAGGAGCCTGTATATTGAATATCAGCAATCATATTAATGCATAATCATTTGTTCTTGTATATTAATATAACTGTAAACATTAGCTACTAGAATATCATTTTGTTTCTGTGCCTTCTTAAACTAGAAGCTCTGCAAGGAACACTCAATCAACTCAGTCAGTCATACTGTGGTTTAAGTGCTGTGGTGAGAAGATAAATAAGGTTTGATCTCTGCCTCCCCCCTCAAAAAAATTTGTTTCTGATGAAAGGGAAAAAGCATATAAGAAAAGGGGCAGTATTAGAAGTACTTTGTATTTGTAGTTATTATTTATTTTAATACTTTTAAATATAGTGATTAGTCTAATCCCATTAAGTGTCAGAGAACTGAAGTTCACCTCAGTTCAAAGATTGCCCAAGAGCCCATTAACTAATTTGTGGATTAGAATCCAATAGTCTTTAATTTTAACTTGATGTTATTTCTACCATACAACATAATTTATTGATTTTTATCATAAAACCTGAGATCAAATACATTTAGAGATTAATTTGTAGTGTGAAGAAGTATGATAAAGTCAGAAACAGCACAAGTTCCCAAGTGATTGTGAATATTGTTTTTTTTTCCCAAAATGTGAAATTGTTTTGTTACTTTTAATAAACTACCTCAGAAGCTCACAGATTTATTAACTGAAACTTCATTTCTTTCCCAGCTTCAAGGTCTTGACAACTTTCTTGTTAAATCACTAGACATTTAAAAGTATTTAACTTCATATCACATCAGTAGTAGATAATAGGGAAAGCATTTTGCTTAACTAGTGACCTCTTAGGTTATTTCAGATCTTGTATATTATCACACTCTTTTGTGAATGACACATCTACCAGTCTGTTTGCTATGGGGCTATTTGGGTTAATACTTCCACTCACCAAACATACTGATTAATAATTGTTTATATTTTATATGTTAAGACACAATGCAAAGTGCTTTAAATATGCATTAGCAATATTTAATTCTTACAACTTTTCTATGAGATATGTCTTATGTTTTTTGTGCAAAAAAAAAAAAAAACAAAACTGATGTAGACTTCTTAACCCTGAATGTTCTACCTCAGTGGAAGAAAACTACACACTGTACTACTGTTTGGTAAGATAACAATTGTTTATGTCAGACCTAGTGGGAGCCAAAAGGGAGAAGCTACAGCTTGTCAAGAAAAAAAGATTAGAGAAAGTGTCTTAGGGCAAATAACATTCAGTGAGTGACTAAATTTCTTTAAAGGGACTAGTTTATGGGGCCTGGTCCCTGGTGGATCAGCGGGTGAGGACAAGCACTGTAAGCTGGCTGCAGCCGCCTCAGTGTGAGTTCCGTCAGCCCCTGAGGTGACCCACATGGCGCAGCAGACCTCTCCTAACCCACCCACTGCTTTCCTCAGCAGTGTACTTCATTGATCTGCCTGTCCTGCTCTCTACTTGTCTTTGGTGAATCCTCTCACGACCCCTGCACCTCTGACTTGTACCCCATTTCTGTATGCATCAATAAATCTTTTTTTTAAAAAAAGGGACTAGCGGTTGCAACCTAGCTGGACATGTAGGTTGGGGAACTTGAAAATGCACTTAACGTGGAAAGTACTTTGCTTTTACTTAGATTGTTATAGAGAAATAAAAATAAATGTGTTTTAAATGTATTTTTATACATCATTTACATAAAATTGCAAAAACTCTTAACTTCGTATCAAAGGAACTCATAATTTTTGTTTTGATTTGTGTTGCTTGGAGAGGATTCATCTGGTATTGGCTTTCAAGGATGAATAGGAGTTTGCTTGAGTAGGAGTTTGCTTGATGATGGGACATTCTAGAAGCATCAGCGTATTAAAGTTAGTGACCAAGATGCGCGTTGAGGATGGGGAGAAATAGTAGTAGAACATAAGGATAAAGAGCTAAACTGGAGTTGGGTTCTGAAAGGTTTTAAATATATAGTTTTAAAGATTTATTTATTTTATGCACACAAAAACTGAGGTGCAGGCCAGAAGTGAGGGGTAAGAGGCAGATCTACTGAGGAGTGAGAGACAGATCTGATTCGCCAGAGACAGTGGGGAGCAGAACAGGCAGATCTACTGAAACAATCTGCAGAGGGGGGGGGGGGGGGGGGGGGGGGAGTGGTTTCCGTGAGATCTGTCTTGCCATGTGAGCTAGCTCCCTGGCAGGCAGGGGAGCAAACGTGCTGCAGTGGCAGCTTTTAGCTTCATAGCACTCTTTTAACCCCTGCGTCACCTGGGCCGCATTTTAGAAAGATCACTCTGGGCCCTCCCTGGTGGCGCTGCGGGTTAAAGAGCGGTACCAGGAAGCTGGCATGGCCCCTTCCAAGTTGGAGCCCCAACCCTGGAGGGAGGTGACCCATATGGAGCGGCAGACCTCTCACCACAATCACCCCTCCCCCCCCACCCCCGCCCCCACTACTCCCCTCAGCAGTGGACTTTGTCAATCTGCTGGTTCTGCTCCCCACTCTGTCTCTGGTGAATCCTCTCACCGCCCCTGCACCTCTAACCTGTACCCCAGTTCTGTATTTTAAAAAGAAAGATCAACTTGAAAGCAGTATGACAGATGGAATTGATAATGAAGTCAAGGAAATTAGAGACGGTTGTTACAATAATCAAAATTTGAGCTACAGCAGTGGCTGTGGAGATAGCAAAGAACAGATTTGAGAGATTTTAGAGGTGGAACTAAAGAACTTAATGCCTGATGTGGGGAAGGAGGAGAGGGAGTCACCTTAAAAGACCCAGGTTTCTGAGTAGGGTGCCTGAGTGGGTGGTCAATGATTCATCCATCAAAAAACTGAATAATGCTTAAGAGTCAGGAAAAATTTTCTTTAGGTCAAAAGTTTGAGATGCCTATAGGACATTCAAGGGAAAGAGGACAAAATACTGTGGAATAGTCAGGAAAAGATGAAGAGATTTGTGAAGGTACATCAGAGGTAAATGAATTAGGAAACTAAGGTGAGGAGAATGAAACTATAATCTCATTAATCAGAAGAGCAAATCAACATTGTAAGATTTTCCACCAATCAAATTGCAAGGATTTTTTAATTTTTTTAAAGACTTATTTATTTATGTAGGCAAGAACTGGGGTACAGACCAGAGGTACAAGAGAGAGGATTCACCAGAGACAGTGGGGAAAAGAGCAGGTTGATCTACTTAAGTACATTGCTGAGGGGAGCAGCAGGTGAGACAGGGAGGTCTGCTGTACCATGTGGGTTTGATCCCTGGCTGAGGATCAAACTCATGCTCCCTTGCTGCTATATCTTCAGAGTGCTGAGACTTCACTCCTTTCATCCACCACCAGGAAGACCCAGTGGTCATTTTTATATTCTAACTCATTTCCATGTTTTCTGCCAGTCACAGAAAAATAGATTGGTTTGTTTTTTGGTAAGCAGTGATTAATAGTGTCAAGTGCTGTTTGAGAAATCAGTAAGATACAAATCTGGACTAAAACATTGGATTTGGCCATAAGACTTTATTGGTAGTTATTGTCAATTTTCTTTTTTCTAACAGTGATAAAGTGCTACTGGATTACACTGGGTTGAAAAGTGAACAGGAAGTAAAGAACTTACTCCTTCAAAGCATGTGACTGAAAAGAGGCAGTAGTCATTTGAAGATACTGCTTTAAACGTAAAGGTAACTAAGGTACTTTGAAAATAAGTTGGGAATAATCAGTGAATAAGGGAGCATCAAGGAAGAGGCAGAAGGTAAAATCAAGCACAAAGAATACTAACCAAACCAGGATTGCTTCATTTTTTTTTAAGATTTATTTATTTATGCATACAGAAATGGGGTACAGCCAGAGGTGCAGGGGCAGTGAGAGGATCCACCAGAAGCAGAGTGGGGAGCAGAACAGGCAAAGTACACTGCTGAGGGGAGCAGTGGGCGAGACAGGAGAGGTCTGCTGTACCATGGGGGTCACCTATTGGGCTGGGGCTGTTCTTCATGTGGATCACCTTGGGGGTGGGTATCTAACTCTCTTTGAAAGTGGCCAGGGCTTGGCTTAGTTTCACAGTGCAGTACTCCAACCTGCCATGCCACCAGGGAGGGCCCTGTTTAGGTTATTTTAAAGGAACTCAAACACCAAATGCCATGGGAGATAAAGCTGGAACAGTGCAGGCAGGCAGGCCAGGATGTGAAGAAGCCTGTAAGCTGTGCCAAAAATCTAAGCAAACAAAACATTTAGGCAAAGCATCCTGGAAATTTTTAAAAATCAAAGCTAAGCACATAGGACTGTTAGTAAGATTCCCCTTGCTTTATAGTATACAAAATATTTTGAAAAGAGAACTAGCAGAAAGACTCTAAGGGAATCATTGGGATAGCAAGGATCGGAAGGCCTCCCTGGTAGCCTGTGGGTTAAGTCTCAACTCTTAATCAGGCAACAGCCTGAGTTCTATAGATCCCTGACCAGGGAGATGACCCACTTATGGTGCAACCAGCCTCTCCTGTCTTGCCAACTACTCCCTTTGGCAGTGTATTTCAGAAGATCTGCCTGTTCTGCTTCCCACTCTGTCTCTAATGAACCCCCTCACCACCACCCCTCCCACTTTCCCACCCCAATCCCTCTGTCCTACATACCAGTTCTTTAAAAAATAAAATAAAATCTTAAAAATAGTAAAGATAGAAATAAGCGAATGAATTTGAGAGACAGTTGGAAGGTGGAATGAATAAATGTAGTTGTTAATGAAACTTCGAAGAAGAGATAAAGGTGATCACCACTTCATATCCAACAGGTAAAATATTGTAAATAGAAAGGTGGTGGTTTCTGGTTGAGAAAAAGATCATTTTCAACTTGCATTTGAGATTTCATTAGGAGAACCAAAGCACTCAATAATTCTTATTTGAGAATTTCAGTTCTACTGATTCTGTTTTGATGAAAACTTCAACAATCAATTAAATAATGAATTTTCAGATCAGGAAGATAGTAAGAAAAAGTACTTGGACATAAAGTTGGTCATTTTTCCTAATAGGGCTTTTATATAAAATGTACTGAGGTGTACCTCTTTTCATTCAATTTTTGCTCAATTTTAGCATAACAAGAGTTTAATAAGACAGTGAGATACAAATACACTTGCAATTAAATAATTACATGCTTATAAACTATCTGACACCTTGCAAAATTGACCTTTTACTTAGATCCACGCAACTCTGAAAACTTGCATAATCTACCTTTAAGTCAAGAAAGTAAAATATTTTCCTACAATTTTCTGATTTAGAACAAATTGCAGAGAACACAATTCAAGAAGTTAGGAAATTAGCATCAAATAGAGTTAAAAGAAATAAGTTAATAGAGACAATAGTAGAACTTAATTAGAACTCATAAAAATAGTACAACTGATAAGATCAGCCCACACACTAGCTTAATGAAGAGAAAAGCCTAAATACACATTAGAAAGGAAATAACAGAAATTAACACCATAAGGTAGTTTTTTTTTACATTAGTATATACAAATTTCATCCAGTTACAAAAGGGATGAAATGAATGACTTCTAGAAAATGTTACCAAAAATAGAAAAATCTACACAAAATATTACCCTTGAATAAAACTGAGAAAGTATTCATGGTTCACCCTCAAGGGAGTGCAATATGGTATTACTGTTTACATATTTTAAAAAATAAACATTTATTCATGCATATAAGAACTGG